GCATCCCAAAGGGAAAAAGAAATTGAGATGCGAATAGTGCGAGAGAACAAAGCGAAACTAAAGCAATACCTCGTAAAATCACCAAGCGTGAAGATTAAGGTTAAAGTCGTAAAAGGGAATAGCGCAAACGAATGGCAAATAAACCAAAACCGACCATATAAATAGCACTAGACTGTGTGTAACTGAAATACCTCGGCCACGTTAACTGTGTTTATTTACGTGCCAACTCGGTCGAAACGGAGTTAATTTTAAACGTTAAACGACTCGGAGGCGGAATAAATCAAAACGCGTTAGAATGGAAGATTTTAATATTAATGGGACGAAATCAGCCTTCCTTCCTTTGTGGTCGAAGGCGCTACCGTTTCAATAACGACAACTTTATGGAACCTGGAGATCAAACCTTAGTTTTAACGAAAACACAAAACAAAAAATTAAACGATTTCGAATTAGATTTTTACATTTTTTTCTTTATCTCCTCAATCATTCTAGAACCCCTTCCTTTCATGGGTTTGTTGAGTCATATCCGCTGAATACAGTGGCTGAGGCATAATTGTGGTTTTGATTTTGACCACAAAGTTAGAAACAAGCAACGGTGACTGAGTCGGTGCATTATCGTAATGCAAAATTCACACAATTCCGGTCGTTTTCTTCGTACTGTTTCTCGTAAACGGCTCATAACTTCAGGGTACGACCTTGTGCTAAGAACTCTTGATATTCTACGCCACGATAATCAAAGAAAACAATAATCAAAACATGATTCGTCACCAGATATGACCTTTTTGAGCATATCAGGATCATCATTGACGTCGTTTAACAGTTCTTGAGCAATGGTCCTTCGTCGGTCCTTTTGTACAAAATTAAGCTGCTGCTACATGGTTCATGATTAATACTTCTTCACTTCTCTAATAGTGATTCGACGATTTTTCAACACCATTTGTTTCACTTCTTCAACGATTTGAACGCTATTGAAGTGCTGGGGCGTAAAGAGCGAGGTTCGTCATCGGCGTCTTCTCGGCCATCTTGGAACAGCTTGTACCACTTATACACATTTTCACATTTCAAGTATTTTGCATCACTGTATTCCAATTTTTACACAAAGTTTTATGCAAATTCTTTGTTCCATTTTTTTTTTGACAGCACAAAATGGCCGAGCACACGAAACACAAAAAAAGTAACATGGGACATGTGTACCAACATAACAAAAAAATATCAGGGATCGAATGTTCTTAGGCCGCGCAATTACAAAAGTCACCTTACCGAAATATTGAAATGCAATAGTTTTGACAAATATAGGTTTTCAATAACTTGGTGTTTATTATTATGTTAATTTGTTGCCAAATTTGAACCATCATTTGTTTAGATTATCTTTTGTTTTTTTAAGTCAGGTGCCTCAAAATATGTGTTATTTATATCTTCCAGAATTTATAATTTTTTTTAACAAGTCGTAATGGAAGCAATTTTTGATTTCGATTTAAATTATTTTTAATATGATTTTTGGCGTTATTTTTTCTCTTTTTGATGTTATGATTAGAATATTTAAAAAGTTTCACTACTTACCTCTCCGTATTTATTTAATATGAGCAAGATGATTACAATGTAATTGTCAGAAATTGGTGATAATTTAGGTAATATCTATTGGTACTTCTCGATGAAATTAAGAATAATTTAGTTGGATTAGTGTACACAGATCCACTACTCAAAACCCGCTCGTCGCACCCCTACATTTCGTAACTTAAATTTTTAATATACCGCGTGTTACGTAAGAAACGTGGCCCACGGCGTTTACCTCACGATTTTAGGTATATATTTCAAGCTGCACATACACGTGGCACGTCGACATAAACAAATATAAGATTTCTTAATTGGCCTCCATTACAATATTTCGAACACGCACTGCCTTAAAACCGCGTGACAAGTGGGTGAAAAGGAGGAAACGAGGTATACGTTTCAGAAAACCTTTAACAAAAATTCTGTTTGGGCGGAGCGTTTAAGGGGAGCGCCGCCGGAACCCGGTTTAAAATATACGTTGCTCAATTTCCTGTAAAACCCGCAAAAAACGGAATTGGCGAGGTAAAAGCCAGCATCTACATCTAGGTCTGTGACGACGTAAGGTAGATCTTTTTTAAGAGTTACACATTTCTCTTTTATATCCGCCATAAAACTGTCGACGTTTTATATTAATCGACGTAATTGACGTGTGTCGTAATCAGGGTTGATATTCTCAGGCGGAAATTTTGAGGAATGCAATGTTACCGCCGCTTATTTAACATGAACACGTCATAGGTTTGTTTTGTTTTTGTTTGAATGACACACACTGGCCGTTTTTGATCAGATTTTTCTACCTATCAGCATTTTGAAAATGCAAATGAAAACCTTTAAGAAATCTCAATAGGCGATTCGTATACATATATTTTGATCTGGCGGTTATATTACATAATGGATTTTCCTTTTTCTTACAATTCTTCACTAAAATTGACTAGAAAAAGTGAAGTTTTGTGTTTTTTTTGTAAATATCATAGGCTTTTGGAATTCAAGAGGCAATCTGTATAATATGAGTTGTTTGACTCGCACATATCACAAAAATATTTTTTTTATATTGGCTAGAATAATCCCTGCACAAATTATTAAATATGTAAAGTGGTGCAGAATTCGGTACAAGGATTTTAAGGGCATATTTCTGTAAGTCTGCAATTCTGTTTTTCATATAAGCACGTGTTTTTTATTAATTACAGTTTTGACAAAATTTGGAAGGCTTACCGGTGATTCTGTGTAATTATATTAAAATTATTCCCTTCAGTGGCGTCCCAGTGTGACCTAATTGATATTTATAAGTTAAAAAAAAAGAATTTTGTTTCTTTCTTTCATTGTTTATGTATCTAGATTCGCTTGCAAAATAAAAATTAAAAAAATTGCCCTGCATGTTCCTGAACTTTCGGAAGAAATTATTTTTTTATTTATTGCTAAAAAACTTTAACAATTATTTTCATAAAATTTGGCATGCTTATTTGGGGTCATTCTATTTTTTTTTTGGTTTTTCTATTTGTTCTTTAATTTCAGTAAATTTTTGAAATTAATCCGATTTGTAATTAAACAAATCTTGACCATGCTGTTGCCGATTTTTAATTTTTTGAACGAAGCTAGGCCCAAAAAATTGGACAAAAAATTTCATTTCATTTTTCTAAAAGGTTTTTCACTAATTATGAAAAGAACTATAAAGTATATACACCCTGTATCTCGAAAATAATGCAAAAAGCAAACTTATTTTTGGCTGATAAATATGCCCTTAAAATTTTAGTACTGAATTTTGTATATCTATAGGCATATACCATAGAGAGTTATTTGAAATTTTTCATCGAACCCTAGCGTGTTGAAATAAAATTTATCAATTAACGACCGGCTGCAAGTTTTACTTTCCTTGTAGAAATTCAGCGAAGAATCCGAAAAGTAATTTTATCGTAGTCTCATAAGGAAATAATCGCCATTTCTCCGGTGTCGGGGCAAAGAAAAATTAAAAGTGATCTAGAACATCAAACCATTCTCGTCTTGGGCGCAGGAAATCCACGCGATCGTTCAAACAAATAAATCTCTTACGCACTTTCACTTTTGGCGATACTATTTTTCGGCTTCCAATGTGTGTGAATCAATTTTATGGTCACCGCTCGCAGTGCGATTCATGCCGAGATAAAATGCAAATCCATATTTGGAGGGGACGAGACCAATCTTGCTTGATCGCTTGTAAAAATATTAAAAAGCAAAAATATATTAACTCAGGCGTTTGAAAAAACATTCAGAATAAAACTAAAGATTGGCTAAATAAATTTTGTAAATTTAAGACGTACAAACCGGAAATACATACCAGCAAATATTTCAAAACTTTCAAAACATCAATTAACTTATTATTGAAGTATTAACTAAAAGTAAGAATAATGTTAGATACTGAGTAATTCGGTGCTCTTCGAAGGGAAAAAAATTGTAAAGATAAAAAACAAATATTATTCCGATTTTAAACATCATAGCCAAAAAAACAAGTTTGTTTTTTATGTCTTTTGTGATCATATTTTTACTGTTTAGAACCTTATTCAAATTGCGAACGGGCATGCTGTTATCAATGCCAAGGAGGAGGAAATTGAGATTGAAACAAATGTGCTTATTAAAACGCGTCCCGTTCAGGTTTCTAACAAAAAATGTATTAAATTAGTGGCATTTTTGTTATGTACGAAATATTTTTTTTGTTCGGCGCTCGGTGTTCATTTTATTAGAGTTTTATAATAGTGGCGCTACTTATTGAATTCTGCGTTAGGCTCTGAACATTCAGTTAAGCTGTGAAGAAGTTAGTAGGATGATTGACGAAACGTCAGCAAGTTCGATTCATCAGCAACGAACGCAGGAGGAATCCAGAAGATAGAAGCATACTGAATTGCCCTATATATTTTCAATATTATTATTTTTAAAAAGTGCTGCGATGACATATAAAATATTATTTTACTTATCCACTTGATTGGGTTTAGTTCGATATGCTGCAATTAGTCTTTACTTTTACCTGTATCTTAGATGTGTATGGTACATCTCAAAGTATATAGTCTTTGTTTTCCACGGACCCTGCCCCTAAAAGTAATGTGCGCATAATGTTATTCCTTCTTTAAGCCCAGACCTTGCCGACGTACATACTTTCAAAAGTGTTTTTTATAATTTATTTTGTATGTAAAAATACATTTATTAGGTAATGTTTGATCTCATGTATCTCTGTATATGGTCATTACAACTGAAGTCGGAAACAAGATTTTTGACGAACGCGGAAAGTTAAATAACAAGTCTATGAAAAAATTAATAGATAACCAACCACTTACTGGAAAATGAAAATGAAAATAAAAAAAAAGTCCAAAAAGTTACACCGCCCAGCGAAATGTATATATATATAATGGGTTTGGCGCGGTACAAATGGTGAAAGGCCTTCTCCTCGGGACGGGTCTCTCTTCGAGATGAAACGCTGATACATTTCTAAATCGGACCAGTTCGCGAAGAGTCCTACGCGTGACGCAGATACGCGCCGATCCAAGTCCGTGTGAATTTTCTCGCGTGGAAAACGAATTTGTGATGATGATGCTCAATGCGGCACAGGTGATTTAAGTCCATTCTATAATAATTATTCAGTAATGAATGCTGCTTTTTTTATTTTTTTGCCAAACGCCGGTGGAGGTGTTTTCCGACTTTGCTTTTTTTAAAATTAAATTTGGTCGTACCCAATTCTATTGTCCTGTTGTCGCCTTAAAATCTCTAGATTTAATTAAATTATCGATTCAAAAGAAAAAAAAAGTAAAATTTATTTGCATGTTATTTTCCAAACTTTTAGCCTTTCTGAACTTGTTAAAACATTTTCCATATCGAGTTTGCAATATTATATATCTCGAAAAATCATGTCAATGCGAATTATAAAGTAAAATGTTACCAATATTCGCTTTAACGTAATTGTGAAAAATTAGAGTTAATTTCAAAAAGAGCTAAAAGTAACATCACCAACTCAGAAAGAAGAAAATCGATCTAATAGCTGCAATATTGATCCCTACTTTCTTAAAACTTTGGTAAATGTTTTAAGAATGACAATAGTTGTTCCCCTTTTTTATCAATCAAGTTCCTACTTTGATGTGGTTTAAAACTGTCATGTTCTTGTTTCGAATTATCGCATATGAACAATTCCAAATTTATCGCAAATCGCAGATAAAATTAAGGGTTAAAAAGTAGTTCGCCATACAGTGCGTCCCCATAGCTTATCTGCAATAGAGTAGCAGGCAAAATAAAAAGATTACATTTGATACTACAAATGTGGTGAAACCCCTAAAACGTCATACGCATGCGCCGGGCAGTTAAAAATAGAAGCTAACACGTTTTAAAATTACGGAAGTATTTCAAAAATTAATTAAAATCAAACTTATAACACCTGTTGTTCTATGGTGGATAATATATATGGGATATGGGACACTCTGTAGATATCTGGGGCCCTAGGAAAAAATTACCACTCGTGTTAAAATGAAAGGACAGAACAGCTAAAGACCATCAAAGCGGAACTTGCGTGCCTCATCAATTGCCTACGAGGTGAAGGTATGTCAACAATTTTTTGTCAAACATGATAAACGACGCGAAGAAAACGAAAACAACTTTCCGCGATCCCACATAGAAGGCACCGTAAACAAAATAGAAGTAATAAATTTTCATTGCCAATTTACATAAACGACGCTACGGCGGCCTCCATTAACTTTATTTTTATTTATTCACTTTACTTTCTTTTCAAGGCGAAACAATCGTTATTAAGCGAAGAAACAACGGGCGATGAACTTGCCATTTTTTATAAGATAATCGCGAAAACGACCGTGTTGCTTTGGATGACATTATCGCGTTGAGAAGAAGTTGGCAAATTTGTGTTATTGTTTTTTTGAAAGCGGATTCCGAACTCATTAAAATTTGAGTCAACTTTAAAATTCTCGCGAATTATTGACTTTTGGATATAAGTGTTTTTTATTGGAGCTTCAGAAATGGTGGATGAAAAACAATCTCATTTAAATTTAAGATTTAGTCATATACTGATTGTTTTAAGAAAAACTAGTTTTATATTCAATGTTTGTCACATTCTGTGGACACTGTCTGAGTCAACGCATAGTCCTATCTTTTCTCAGCGCCTCCCTGGCCGATTGTTGATAACTCAAACTTGTTGAGGTTTCGTCAATCATCCTGTTGACTTCTTCAGAGCTCAATCAATTACTAAATCTGTTAATACTATTTCAAACCTTCTCATAATTGAAAAATGCTTGCCTGGAATATATTTTTCTTGTAACGTCAGGAACAGCTATGGGTTCTCCCCAGTCATCGCGAATATATTTATGGAAGAGGAGAAAGCCCTCGACACCTTCCACCTAAAATAAACTGGAAACTAACAATTATCTCCCATTCATATATATTTTTATTAATAAAAAATCAGGCCTAATATTGGGTCACTCTATTTACAGAAGACCTACTCAAAAATCATCATCGGTTGTCAGTAAAACTATCTTCACCGCAACCTTCCGCAGAGAATGTGTCCGAAAGCAACCCCCCACTTGCCATTGAAACCAGACATCCAATCTTTTGGATAAAATTAAAATTCTTGCATATAATCAGTCAATATTTCCACCAAAAACAAATCCGAGAATCCATAGAAATCTATAAGCAACCTAACAATCTTAACCGTGACTCAGTTCAAGGTTCATGCCCGCACTCCCCACCCTTAGCTCTGCTGCTCTCAAAAAATATATAAGCAGGTACCTAGTACAATGCGAGTAAGTTTCAGTTAAGCTCTGAAGACGCCAACAGGATAATTGGCGAAATGTAGGTTTGACTTATCAACTACCGATGCAAGAGGAACCTAGAAGATTTGTATTTATATCATTTTTGTGATAAATTTAAGCTCATAAACCAAGAATATGAGAGTTGTATAGATTCACAGTGTCTGTTTAACATCCTTCTTACTGGAAATTGATGGCAATATAAAAAATACAATTAAACTGCAGTAGGTTACATTGAAAAGGTAGAATCACTAATCGGTAAAACCTTAAGTACTAACAATCCAAAACTAATCCAGAGCTATAATATACCTCGCTCGCAGTGTGTGGTGCGCTTCAATCATGAGAATTAATCACTAACTTCTAGGAAAAGCTAAATCTACTAGTTTGGCAGCAATGCATTACGATCAGTATAGAAATGGAGCGACTGATCTAATTATTGGTTATTCACTCAAATTATTTGTTCTTTTGTTATTGAGCAAACGTTCGTCGAAATAAAGAGAAGAAAATTTTGCCAGTAGAAAGAAAGAAAACATAAAATCAAAAGGGCGAAGCCTGTGAGATCCTTTGATAGGACAAACTAACAATTTTTAATAGTTATCCTTCATTCTTGTAAGTTAGGTTTTGATATATGTTTCTTTTAGTGATCGCATACCCACAACAATCTTCTATCATCATACGCATGACGTTAATAACATTGTCTCAACAAATTAAGTAATCATCGCTACATTTCGTGTTTTAAACCATTCTAATATATGCCGATAGAGAAATTACGCTGTCGCATTATCAAAACCAACTGACGGACAAGATTTAAAGGAAGTGGCGTCCTCGAGTGCCAATTCCCACAGAAGCAAGCCCCCGACGATGTTTTTCTAACCTTAATATTACGCCGAAATTAGCCGGTTTACAATTTGTTTCGGAAATCTATCCATCGCCAGCATAAAAACTAATTGCCCGAAACGCCATCACCTGAACAGAAGTGACAGGCGCGTCGAGTAGGAAGGAACAATGATTGGTGCAATTATATTCCCAAAACAAACGATGTAATTAATCGGAATAATTTCCTTTTCACGATTAGAAAGGGTCGCCGCTCATAATCACTCACATCGTTGCTTTCTTTGGCTTTGCCGAGGTGGGCACGTGCGTGAATGCGACTGAGACGAACCATTTTTTTGTAATAAATAATTTATTACTAGAGTGTTTGGGTTGGGTACCTTGATATCTGAACGGATTAGAAACCGAGTAAGTCTTGAAAATTTAAAATTCCTCAATTACAAATGGGATTTAACTCTCTTTTTAAACTTGAAGAGGTGATTGTTTGGATGAATTGGGTCAACCGCTCGATGTCCATGGCAAAACAAGTCCCTAAGCCGCAGTTGAACGTAAAATTAATCAATTCAGAATAACTAACCAAAGAAACTATCATCGCGTCGTTAATCTAGTTAAACTACTTAAACAACTTTTCATAAAAATGTAAATACGCTTGTATGTACTACTCCCATATGATATATACAAGGTTTAAAACAATAATATGGTACCCTGTATCCCAGAGTAAATAAGAAGAACGGTATTAGGGAAATAGACAGTCCTTTAAATTTGAAAATCCTTGTCTTTACATAATGTTCTTATCTGAGGCCCAACAAAAATTCCTTCTTTTATGTTGGAATCAGATATGACTGGAAATTTCAGACCCAAATATTTGAAACACTGTCGATTTTTGTCTAGGGCTTTAAAAAACTGCTTCATCAAGCCAAGTTTGATATGAAGAGGAGTCAGTAAAACTTTTTTGGGGTCAACTATACTTATACTATCTCTTAATAAATTTTTGCTACCAGATGTAAGGCTTGTTTTAGAGGGCCATTCTATTTGAGTCCAATCTCTTTTCCGACTATCCCACTCGGAAATTGAGCATGGAAATTTTGTATAACCCCCCTGTTGTCCTAGAAGCATGCAGGTCACCACAAAGTCACTGATGTTCTTGGTAGTTTATTTTTTTCAAAACAAGTCCTAAGTTTTCATAAATACGGCACATTTCTTAATTTTGAAATTAAGTCATTGTTGCAATACACTAGAGGTCCTTCCTGAGTAAATTGACATAACTCTTTTTCGGGATCCCGGTAAAAGCTTGATGTGACGCCAGGTGCCAGTAAATGCTTGTCACGAAGTCTGGACGCTAACAATTTGGCTAAATACTTCGGGCTCTCAATCTGGCGTGAAATCTGGGTCGGAATTAGATTCCTCTGATTCTGACGATATAACGTTTTCTAGTTTTTTTGGGGCGGTAGGTATCGGTACATCTGGCCCTTGAGGAACTTGTAGAATAGCACAGTCAAGATGAGGATACACAATTTGTTTCTTATTTTTTCTGTTGAATCCTTGAATATTACACGAACAAAAATAACAATGATCACTGTGATTCCCAGGCTGCCGCCAATTTTTAGACCAAAATAAGCGTGGTCATGTCTTTTTTCCATATTTACACGTCCTAGAACACTAGAAATACGCAGCAACGAAGACAACAGCCGCCAACACAGTAGCACGACAATCAATACAACCAAACTGCGCATAAAGATACAAAACTGTATTGAAGCTTCTGCGCCAACTCTTTTGCTTTGCTGTTGCCAAATCACATTTAAGTTCATAAAAATCAATCAACCTAAAAATCATGTTTAATATTTAACAAACATATTCATCTCATAGGTATGTATATTAATAAAATAAATGAATAAAAAACATATACAGAAACTCAAAAAGTGTAGTTAAAATAGGACAATATCAAAGCCATTTACGACTACAAAACGGTTGAGGCAAGGGTGCAGCTTATCACCAACTTTATTTAAGATAGACATTCAAGAAGCACTAAGCAGGTGGAGAACAACAATTGAGAGAATGGGAATCGCGGTAGAAGATAAGTGCTTAACAACACTATTTTTTGCAGACGACCAAGTGCTCATAGCAGGTGATGAGGAGGATGTAGACTATATGCTAAGAAAATTGGAAGACGAATATACAAAATGGGGTTTAAATAGGAATATGACAAAAACGGAATACCTACCGGTTGGCAGCAAAAATAAAGACCCCGAACTGCATATAATTAGAGTAAAAAAATGTAAACAGTATAAATATCTAGGAAGGATATCTAGAACACAACATATACGAAATGAAAACATACGACGAAGAACATGGCGAGTAGACACGACTGCAGAGAGAATACAGATAACACAATTACTATGGTACGGATATGTGATGAGAACGGAGCAGGTGGCCACTTTTCTTTCAGCAAAAAAAAAAACATATTTGAATTTAGCTCAAACAGTATTCACTTTAACTAATGTTAATGTCAAAAAGTTTTCCAGATAATGAAAAATGAAGGTGATAATTACGTTTACTCAATAGCGAATTTACTTAAAAATAATTTTTTTTGAAAAAATTATTGGTAGCGTCGATCGTCCATAATTCCATGCATCGTTACTGGGACATACGGTATAAAAATAACATTAGGCAGAGAAAATGTACAAAAAAAATCATTTGAAAACTAACATAGTCCGAAATCTCGATCTGATTAAAACAGCATTAACGATTCCGTTTCAATTTTAAATGATTATTTTGTTGTCTAAAGATTTAATGTTAGTTGGTAATTTGTATTATAGCTTAATGGGATAATGAGAAATGTCTTAATTAATTAATCCTTCGTTCGTTCCCAGATTGCGAGCTACGATAAACCAGTTCGCAACAAATTCCGCAAAATCGATCGCCCGTTAAAGAGACAACCGCGATAGCCAAAAGGACATTATCATTAATCTCAAATATGATTTGAGTCCGCGTTTCGTAAAGGTTTATACTTTCTCTCGATATCCGCAATGTTAAATAACAACGATCAATGTAATTTTTTTGTTGCCCGTAGCGATAACACTTCCACAGGACATCGGAAACTAAAATCCATCTTTTTGCAGGTTTCGGTTATATTTATGCTGACGTTTCTGCATACGGAATGCAAGAAACCCCCGGGGTACGTGGAAAAGCCCAAGGAATACGACCCGGTACGTTACATAGAATTTTATTTAACTATCCTCTGTAACTGCACGTTCCTCTTTAATCTTCGGAACTGCACTTGTACAAAACGTTTTGTGCGCTATTAAGCAACGAGGTCAAGTGAGTGCCGTTAAAATCGATGGTCATTGTTTTCGAACTTACCGAAAAAAAGGGTTTGCTCCAGAATTAATTGGTATCTCATTTTTAATTTTTTCTATACTTGTTATACGAAGTCGAACAATTAGGTAATGAGACTTGATTTGATGCCTTGGCTCGCCTTTCCGGTATCTACTTTCTACCTGCGAGACCAAATCATTAATAAAATTAATTACTAAATTATAAAGGTTCTACCTTTTAATCAACCACCTCTTATTCTTCTTTGATAAGACGATTCCAGTTCCGTAATGTAATGTATATATGTATAATGTAATGTGATATGGTGGCCGCATATGTTAAAAGAGATATTTTTGTAAATTCACTATAGCTAATAGTTCCGTCTTTATTATATTCGCAATCCAATCCATAATGTGTTCTATTCACGACGAAGTTGATCTATTTTCATAAACAATTACTACTTGGGAGGCATATAAAAAGTAAAATCTTCGGCATTCAGTTTCTTGTGATAGACACTCGTCCGAGAGAATTACAATGTCAATAACCCACCTTCTCTTTTAACGTGTACAACTTTTGCTTGTTCTTTTCTCGTTCATTCCAGTCGATGAAAGATTGACTGAAGAGCACTAGTATATATCTCTCATTAATCCACGCTTTATCGAATAAAAATATTCTTGTGCTCCATACGGTACTGCTTTACGCTTTTCTTTACAAACAAGCGGGTTTTATTGAGATAATATTTTATCTACGGGATCCCCCGTTTTCTTTCTCTGCACCATTTGAAACAGACTTTGGCAGGCAATAATCTGCAGTCAACATAAACCAGCATTAAATGGCGAACCGCTTGCCTTCTCACTCTCTCGTATTTTAATGTTATGTAATGTATTTTAATTTGGAGCTTATATACTGGTTTACGTTGTTCAATTTAATACCTGCAAAAACTGAGGCTATACATCATACCGATTTCCTCCTGTAGTTCGTCTGCCTTTTAGGGATTTTTGAATTTAGAAAAATAATCGGAACCTTCGTTAAGTTGTTGCATCGCAACAAGAGTTATTTTTCATAGAAACTTCCACAGGCTACTGTAATACTTTTTACAAAACTTCTGGATTCCTCCTGCATCAGTTTTTGCTAAGTCGAATTTGCTAACGTTTCGCCAATCATCCTGTTGGCTTCTTCAGAGCTTGACTGAAACTGGCTAGCATTCTACTCTGTACCTGCTTATATATTGTTTGATAGGGGCGAAGCTAAATGAAGGGCATAAACACCGTCTCGGATGCCCTGAGTCGCAGTTAATATTGTTAGGTTGTTTATATGTTTCTATAGGCTCTCGGATTTTTCGTTGGTAGAAGAACTGATTGCATGCAATAATTTTAGTTTTATCGAATATAATTTTATGTCCGGTTTTGTGATTGTGTTCGGCAACTGCTGCTGAGTTTATTATTATTATTTGAGCCTAGTTGATATTTTTCGTCCAGTCTCTCCAATGTATTCTTTTCCGCATATGCATGGAATGCTGCAAACTCCTGGCATCTTAAATGAAATTCTGTCTTTGACAGATCGAAGATGATGCGAGTTTTAGACAAATGGTAAATCTGGTTTTGACTGTATATTTCTTTAGAACTTTTGATATGTGGTTAGTGATGTTTTGAATGTAAGGAAGAACCACAGTGGCAAGTGTAGGATTGCTTTCGGCCTCATTGCTATTGGAAGGTTGTGGTGAAGTGTAATGGAACGGAATGTGGAAATTATAAGAGACAAGAGCAGAGGTAAGACGTTTTAATTCTGGGTTCAGTGACTCGGGCTGAGATAGTTTTACCGCTTTGTACACAAGAAAGTTGATAACCGACGGTTTTTGGGCCGGATGGTGATGTGTGACCATGCATTAAGGTATCGGTCTGTGTACGTATATTTCCTGTAAACACAATGACCCAATGTTAGGTCTGATTTTCTATTGATAAGAATATCTAAGAATTTCAGATTATTATTAGCTTCCAACTCAATGGTAAAACGTATGTTAGGGTGTATCGAGTTTAAATGTCTAAGAAAATCTACTAGGGTTCTTGACCATAAGGCCAAATAACAAAAGTATTATCGACACAGTGTTTGCATAATTTTGGTTTTAGATGAAAAATGTCGAGAGCTTTCTTCTCAAAGGCTTTCATAAATATATTCGCGACGACTGGTGATAGTGGGTTCTCCACCTTAATGCATGGTCACATCACCATCCGGCCCAAAAATCATCGGTTATCAACTCTCTTCTTTACAGAGCCGTAAAACTATCTCAGCCCGAGTCACTGAACCCAGAATTAAAACACCTTACCTACGCTCTTCTCCCCAATAAGCAATAAAGCACTTGTCACAGTGGTCCTTCCTTACATTCAAAATACCACTGGCCACAGATCAAAAGTTCTAAACCAGATTGTTCATCAGCTGTTGCCGAACACTTGTATAAGTATAAGAGTTATTTTCCATATAGAATCCGCCTAATTACCAGTTCGGCTACCGGATAGAAACGAAGAAAGGAAACCAAGGCAGAGACGAAAAGCGCGAGGGTATTTTTGCTGAGGGCAGGTAAGTCGTACCAACATTCTCTACTTTCGGTTTGTAAGATGTATAAACGTTAAGGTACTACGTGCAAAATCCCGATTCTAACCACGATGTCAAATACTTCACTGACAACTGGGGATACCATCCGATCGTCGAGTACAGTAACACCGGCCCGCACAGCAAGAGTTCCGCGTCGTTCATTCTCGACGAAGAGGCGCTCAAATACAAAAAGAGTGGCGTGAGTTTACCGATTTTTAGACCTAAAATTCTCTCGCGCAATCGAAACTAATAAAGTAGATCGAAACGTTTAGCGAATTTCTTTGACACCGTAACGTCGTCGCAATCACACGTTTTCACCGACTAAGCAACCGCAAAATTGAATGAATGTGGCTAGGGACCTCGATGGCCCAACGACTAAGCCACTTGTCTTGACACTAGACGCACCGCGCAGACAACTCATCCAGATGGGCAACTAAATCTAAAATAAATATAAATATTTCAATTCTAGTTTCAAGTCCCTTCCGAATATTCCGTAAACAGGAACGCCTGTTAAAATTTGAAGCATATAGAAACATGAAATTTTTGTATCAATTTATGGAGGACATACAAAGCAAATAGCATAGGCTGGAGGCTGAAAAACATACACAAATTAGTTTGCAAAATTGTTTTCAATTTGCTTGCATATTATCGTTGCATTGATTCCTCAAACGGTACAAATTATTTCACTATTTACTTCAAAAAGTTAATTTTTAAAAGAAACATTCTGTCACACAAATTCGACGCGATATCTCGCTAGTTCAGTATTACGATACCTAAAACACTTGAAGAAAGGAGCTAGCTTAAAAAGCAAAAATACATCTTGTACTCAAAATCAACACAGCTTGATTGAGAGGACACTATCTGCGTGCACTTTCTATGTTAATAGAAATGTTCATATACAGCAAAATACGTATAGGATAAAGGAAGGAAAATAACATTTATGACGCACACAATATACCAAAAACATGCTTCGGTGAAACACGTATATGTATTAAAATCGGTTTAGAGATAAACAGTTTGTGGATTTTTGAAATTTATTTTACTTATTTTGATTTCCATTATTTATGTTTTAATTTATCTATTATTATAAGGCCCTTTGTTATTTCAGTAGAGTCTGTTAAAATGTCCAAATTATTTAATTATCCAACTTAAGCGATGTATACGAAAGTCCAAATTAAAACTAGAGATGTTACCTATAGAGGTAGAATATTTTGCCGTAATTCAGTCAATATTTAGGAAGATTTGCAGTTAGATAATATAGAAATTGACACTTAAAATATAATAATTAATGATATTGCTAATTTAATTGTAACAATTGTAAATGTTGTTTTTTATTAAATAATATTGTTGCGTATACTTCCATATGTTTTTGTACAGGGGAACTTACATTTTTTTCGGATCATCTTAAAAGGAAATAAATAACCATTTTTGATCGACTTCATACCAACTGGCAATAAATAACTATAAAATATAAAGTAAATAAAATTAAACACTCTGGGATATAACATTTCATTTTCAGAAAATCGCGGATAAAGAAGCACTGATGGAGAATGCGAAAGGACAACAGTCGCACAGACCCACCGAGAACAGGAACCAGCCCGTTCAAGAAGATCCCACCAGACTAAAACTTGAAGACAAACCCATGGAAGATCCGGCGGTCGTACAAGTAGACGCCGGTAAACCGATACAAAACATCATAGACGAAAATCCTGTAACCCAGCCCGAATCAGATCCGGCAGAGAAGAACGAATCCAGTGAGCCCGAGATTTCCCAGCCAATTCAAACTCCAATTTGCTGTTCCGAACAGCAGCGTAGCAATAAAACCGTTTGTTGTTTTTCGCAATATAAACAACCGCAGTTTATTCTGCTCTTGGCAAAATCGGCTCCGGCTAGTCCCAAAATATTGGAGCTCCTTCAAGGCGAATATTTCCAACAATCGGACTCTTCTCTGACCAACAGTGTCGAGAAAAGTGAAAAAAACATCGACCGTTCGTTCGATAAACACGACGACCACCAGAATATGCTGATCGAGTCCACCAAGAATATGGTAACCGGCGCTGATGTAATAGACATCAACGAGGCAGCCAACGGTAAGGAAGAGTCGTTGCAAAAGTTGATGAAAAAACACGCAACACCTGCGATTCTAAAAGCATCCAATTCCAACGCGACGTTGGCACAACCAATCGTAGTCGCTGAATCTGCAGAGGAAAAACCGGTAATCGAAAAAAGTTCGGAAGATGTTTTGGTCACCCACAGCACGAAATTTCTGGCACCCATCACCGCCGGCATCCAACTCCACCACGCCGAACCACTGACCGAAAATGCTAAGCAAACGGAAGATCGCACCGCAGGAAAGGTTGCGATCGAGGTGCAAAAAAGTATGCCCTACTATTTGGGGAAATACGAATATCCGGTGGAATATCTGGTTGAAGGTAAAAATGACGGAAAAACTTCGGCCGAAGTCAAGGCGTCCGAAGACATCGAACTGGGGAAGACGCTCTTATATTTTACAGACGCCAAGGCAGAAAAGCTAACGCAGGGGATATCGGAAAAGTCTGAGATCACCAAAACGGACCCTATGCCAATTCTAATGAGGAAAACGAATCCACAAGCGTATTCGGTTGTGGAGAAGTCTGTACATATACCAGTTCCAGTTACCAAATACATCGACCGCCCCTACCCAGTTAAAGTACCATACCCACACTACCAGCCTCAAGTGGAAAATATTATCAAGGAACATTACCCATTAGAAGTAAAAATACCGACAGGAAAGAAAAACTTTATCAACAGACATTACCACGCCCAAGAACAAAGCGCGACGCAATGGCCTCAGGTCTATTACGTAAATCTTCCTTGGCACCAAACGCATGATTCAGAACTTATTCAAAACATCCACCAACAGACCCAGCAGCACTCAAATATCGTGTACTACTTGAACCATCCGGTTTCTTACGCACCCCAACCGCCCAAGCCAAAATTGAAAGTCAACCATAATGGCTACTTGCCTCCTCAAGACTGCGTACATCAGCAGCCTGTATATAAGAACGAATTCAATTTGAAAAATGCTGACGAATACGCATGGTTGACCCCGCCTAAATATAGCTCGAAGTACGGTCGGCAACTAGGCAGGAGCTATAGACAGGCGCGTTCAAATTTTGACGCCAAGAGTATCAAGATGGAGTACGGTTTCATGCCGCCGTTGATACCATCGTTAGAGATCGACGAACAAGGACAGCCGTTAGAGAAAAGCGAGAGGATCTGAGCAGTGCAAGAAAATATTGCTCAGATTGCATGGTTTAAGAAATGACTGACAACGATTTAAGGATAACTAATCCTAGGCTTAGGTACGATTGCCATTGTAGCGATAAGGGGGTTAAAATTGTATAACTTTGGTTACCGAGAATACCTCAAATTTTCATTTCGTTTAGCTGACTGTAAGGCTAGATGCCATCTCTGGTTTAGCTCGTATTTATTTGGGATCGTCGAACTCTCATGTTGAGAGGCAATATTGTGATTTTTTTTATCCCACGAAGTCACGGTTGTTGTAGTTTTATATATTTGTTTAATAAACAGTAACGTTAATGCGTTTTCAATTTGGCTGCGTCCCCAAAACATTTTGAGCTACTCAAAATACATGGCTAAACATTTTTAGCTTATTGGGTAAAAAATATTTAAGGTAAAATTGAAAAGTAAATGCAATCAAATAATAGGTTTAATGAATGAGTATCAAAACAATTAGATTATAAATCAAGTTCAACATGATTATACTTTATTCACTGGCAAGACAGATTAATACAAACAATGCAACGAATAATAAAAATTGAGTTGGACAGAGTTGTTTTTACATATCTTTTTTTGAAAAAGTCGATAATTATTTTTATATTTTACTCCCTTTTCTAAATGCACCGATCAGGGGTGCTCCAAGTGTCACTTTAACACCTGACGCTCCTGATACTTATTAAATATTCGTGACTAAAATGTCAAACTTGTTGCATAATACAGGGTGTTTTTTAACAAGTCTGATATTTCAAACGGCCATTCTACCAAAAATTTACAAACGCCATCGCGCAACAGGTTTAGACAATATCCGTGAAATAAAAAATGTATTCCATCCAAAAATAGAAATTATTTTCTCATTCTATGTGGAGTAATTTTTTTTTCGTGTGAAAAAATAAAAATTTCTTTCATACATGTCCAAACGACTATAATCTTGATATTGTTGTTTTGTTTCGATTATTTTTTAGTAAAGTCAATTGCTGAAAAAACTCTTTTTCTCTCCGTTTCTTAGAAGTTCGTTCTTACGTATATCAAATATATCAAGCCCCTGCAAAACGTTTTTTATATGGCAATTTGTTCTCAAAACACCCTGCCTTCTATTATAACAAAGGTATCAGCTATCAGTTTCCACAATATTACCATACCACACTGTCGCGACGGAGGAACCGAATGGGCCTGGCCCGGCCTGTGTGCATTCCAAGAACTCAAAAGTACACAGGCAATCGGTGCGATCACAGACACCGTTTCCTGGAAAGACATTCGAAAAAAGCGAAGAGCTGCTCGCTGATCAGTCAGTCAAAATATTAAACCGAGCAGCATTGCGTATAGTAATAGTGTGTAAATAGTTAGTAAATTTGTTGTTTTGAACGAAATGAATTTTTACCTACCTCAAGTTGTACGAGAAGTGGCTTATTTCATTTCACCATCGCGTTTAACAAACCCGAACTATTTTAATCCATTTAAAAGAGTAAGATTATATCTACTGTACTATATGGTCCATAGGAATGCGTTCCATTCAAGAAGTAATTACATAGGTTAAGATAATAGAATTACAAACTGAAGCAGAGGCCCAAAACTGTTCCAGTTTGGAAAAAAGAGTGTTGTAAAGTTTAAAAAAAAACGATTTTTTATTTTTGTACAAAAAGTCTTAAGCTATAACACCAAACAAAAAAAAATAGCGGAAAAACTTGAGGTTTGTCTCCGACGATGCTAGACAAAAATGCACATAAAAAATAAATTATTTATTAACAAAAATTAATTATGTACAAACCAAAAAAAAAATATTGCACTTGCCCGCGAATCGAAAATTAAAGAAAAAACCTTCTCCAGAAATAGCGGCATAAAAGCATAAAATAGCAGTATCTTCTTCTATCTTCCAGTTGAATAAAAAATGTTGCAGTTTGCCGAATTTCCGCGAAATGTTTTTTCTATAATAAACTGCAAGGTCCTAAAACCATAGAGAATATTAAACAATACAATAAATAGCTAACATATAGTATACAGGAAATCCGAGGTGATAACTGGTACCCGTTCTTAATGCTTGGTTCTAATTGACGTCATTAAAGCGCGCCAACACAGGGAGGAAACTTTAAGCCCTGTGCCTGACGTCATGTTTGCCTATATTTTCGTAAGACACCCTGGCGTGATAACCGCCTTCGTCCACGTAATAGTCGACCCTTTGCTTCCTGCCATCGGGCAAGACTACGAAGTACTGTCCTTTGGTACTTTTTCCATTCCTCTTCTCCTCGTGACCAAAGTCGTTGCCGTGTTCTCCATCCAAGATTTGATATCCGAAAGCGTACTTAGCAGCGTATTGGTGAAGCTGAAATTGGCAATGAGTTGCTAGAAAGTCTAGGAAAATATTCCAGTAATTTGTATTTACTCTTATTAAAAATTACGCTTAATGCATATCAGAGATATTCTCAGGGATTTCAAATATTAGCACATAAATAACTTTTGGTTAGTTCTAACCTAATAGAAAAAATGGTGTTTGATTATTTTTTAAAAAAATGACCATTGGTTTTCAATTACTTTAATTCACAGCAAATAAGGTTCCAGATTACTACAAAAATCTTTTAAGTATGTTTGAACTAACCAAACTTTATTTATTTTAATGCAAAGCATAGAAAACAGATGGACATTTTTTTTAAATTTTAATCATAAACAAAGTCAAAGTCTCACGTATGTTCACATGTGAAAACATATGAACTAAAACTCTTTAACATATACTAAATCAAACATTTCAAAGTTACATTAAAATAATATACAAACCCAACAAAACAGTGGTATCACATTAACAGCGCTGTGAAATAAATATATTATGAACACCGTGAGCCAAATAAAACGATCTGGAAACCCATAGGAGATACGAAAAAAAGTTTCGTACAAAAGTTTCTTGCACTCCTCAGCAAATTTAAAATGCTATAATTTTGTTGATACAGGGTGTCCCAAAAGTGTTCTCTCGCTATATTTTTATTGAGATAACAATTCTAGGGCAAAAAATAAGGTAAGTTTGTAATTTTTCTTAAATTTAAATTTTACTTATTTTTTGGGATATTAGAGGTTTAAGATAAGACCCGTATAAATTCTTGTTCAATTTAAAGCTGCCCACATTAGGGACTTTGTTGGCAATATTAGGTATTTTTTAAATAGCAAAGACGTGATACAATTTCTTTGAAAAATATAATACTCCAGATATACAAATAAAGTAATACAATAATACATGGTGTACATTAATACGTGGAAATTTTGCAAAAAATCGACTCTATACTAAACACTCTAACAGATTTAATAAAACTTCAGAATTCAAATTTAAAGAAATATTTAATAATTAATTATCCAGCTTTATTGAAAATACCTAAACAAAAATAAATAGTCCATAGTCCATAGGCTAACTAAACAAGGTAACAAATTTGAACAAATAAATCTATAAAACAAAAAAAAACAGAAACAAATAACTAAAAAAAACTTAAATATGGTGATACTGTAATATATTTTCAATATATTCTCATAATGCTAGAGACCGCATTTCTAACCACATCACTATTATTTCTCAAGCAAGAATCTCTTGTCTAATTTTTTTCTTAAGGTCATCAACTGTATAGTTATTTCGACACGCAATGTCACCATTTTTACCCATTATATTTTGGAAATTTACTCTTAAAAAAATTATCACTTGATGCGCTATCTTGTTGAAATATAATGTTCTGCCGCTTGTTGCCAGAGAGGTTGTTTACTTCCGGCATTATTGAATTTTGAAGAAAAATTAAAAATTTCTCTCCGATTTAATAGTTTTCAAAAAATAATTATTCTATCCCTTATAATACCGCACCACACTTTAACATTCCGATGCTCCAGCTAATAATTTTTTTTTTCATTAAAAACTTGTTCTCTGTTGAATAATAGTAGCAATTTTTTATATTGTGCATGCCAGAAAATCTCAGAATATTCGTCTATGACAGGTCACGGATAATTCTATTCAATATTGTTTTTCTTGGTATTTTAGCCTCCGGAAGCTTTCTTTGATACTCCCTTAATGCTAAGGCTACACTTTTACCATTGGTCAGGTAGCATTCATACAATTTTAGCCGTTCCTGAGCAGAATATTGCTACATTGTTGCCAAAAAATTATAACTTATTTAAAATATAAATATAACATAAAACTTGACAACTATGGAAAACAACAAAAACAAACAGAAATGTTAACTTAATGTTACCTTAATGGGTAAGAAAAAATTGTGATGTCATAGCCAATTACATTTTTAAATATTTTGATATTTCTTTGTTGTTTTGATACCAGGTGAAACGAGTATTTTAAGAGGAACTTTTTTAACTAACCTTTAACGAATTCTTTTTGGTTAACTTTTGGTGTTATAGCTTTATTTATTCAAATTTGTTTCCTTGTTTAGTTGTCCTATAAACTTTAATTATTTATTTTTGTTATTAGGCATTTTCAATCAAGTTAGATAATTAATTATTGAATGTTTCTTCAAATATGAATTCTGCAGTTTTATTAAATCTGTTAAAGTATCTGTACAGAGTAGATTTTTTTCAACATTTCCACATATTAATGGACACCCTGTATTGTTAGCAATAGGTCTTATTCGTATATCCGGAGTATCATAACTTTAAAAGAAGTAGTATCATGTCTTAGCTATTTAAAACATTCCTAATATTGCCAACAAGTGACCTAATGTGGACAGCTTTAATTTCAACAAGAATTTATACGGGTCTTATATTAAACCTCGAATATCTCAGTCTGTGGTTAAATTTTCATTGCAATACCTGGATCGGTAGCGTCACATCACAATTTTATATGGGACAATCAAAATTTAAAAAAAAAAACACATAACCTCAATTTCTGCCTAAAATATGCAAGACAGTGACCTTTATTTTACTTTTGGGACACCCTGTATTAACAAAATTATAATATTTTAAATCTTCAGGAGAGTCCAAGAAACTTTTGTAAGATACTTTTTTCGCATCTCCTATGGGTTTTCAGATCGTATAGTGGATCGTTTTATTTGACACACGGTGTACGTAATATATACAGATAGTACATTAATGATGATTAAATATTATTACATTTCGTTTATTTGTTGGCAAAAGAATCTGCCACTTCAACTTTGGGCAATTTTAACTTCGGTTATATCGTCGTCTTTTTTTACTAAGCACAATAAAGCACATGTCTTCTGTCGATACCCGTCTTCATGTGAAAAGGGTTTTTCAATCTCAATACGATCTCGCTCGACACTATTGGATTGAAACCGTTCCCAAAATGAACTCAATTCTCATGAAAACGTAGCAAAAGTGTCACTTTGCGCATGCCTGATCAGCATGGGTATAACCGATCTTACGATAATTGGTTATATTTTTATTTGAAAACAAATTCAAACTTTCAAATGGAAAAGCGTAGAATAGAATATTGCCAACTGACCGGGGCATTATTCTTCTTCTTATATGCTGTCCGAACATTGTTGTCAGTTGGGCATGGCCCCTTTAAGTTGGGATCAAAAACAATAAGAATAAATGGAAAAAATATTTTAAATTTAACGACGCTCTAGTAACGAGAATTAATATTTTTCACAAATCAAATAAAACAGGTATTTTGTTTTTTGTTTGCAAAGTCTGAAAATGACGTTTCGGTCTCTATTATCGGCGTCTCAATAACAACAGCCGCAATTAAAATATCTATTAAGCGCATCACAATAGTGACGTCTAATAAAACCAGCGTAGGATAATATTATGTAATAATAAACATACGTACGACAACGTCCTCATTCACGTCCTCTCATCGGCACGAAAGGTTTATTAAAAGCGCCCTGCGACGCGCACCGCTTTGTTAATTTTACGATTAGCCCTGAGAATTTTCAAATACACTTTTTTCACCCTCGCCTCGACGCTCTTCCGTTTAAGCGCATCGTCATTCTTAACGATCACGTGTTTCCTATCCTCCGCTTCTTGCCGACGAAGATTTCTTCGTAAAGCTTCCGCATCGTCCAGATAAGTAGCAATCACTCTCGATCCATCGAAGGAATAATTCACGCGGGTTACGTTTCTACCACCCGCTCCCCTTTTACTCCGTGAAACCTCTCGAATACTTACGTCATGGTACGAGCCGTCGTCACCATCGTCCTTCAAACTGATTGGATAATGCTGACCAGTACCACCAACCGCACTGTCACCCCTCCCAAACTGCGGTAATGACGCGGAGTAAGGTTTGCTCAGCTGGGGAAATGTTTCCACCTCCAAGTAAGACGACGGACCTTCTTCCGGGGTCTGAGGGGCGTGGCTGACGCGGTGAGGGTCATTTGAACCGCCCGACATCTTGACAGTGTAGTACGATTGAGCCAACGCATTTTTTGCATCTCCGACCGCCTGAGGGTGTCCTTGTAAACCAAGAGGTTTCAGCTGGGCTATAGCCTCCTCTTGTATCCTAGCGATCTCGTTCAAATCAAGAACGGACCTTCCACTATTGTGAGCCTCGATCCTTGCAAGTGCGGCCTCTTCAATCTGCTTCTGAGCGAGAGCAATGGCTTTGTTCTGAGCCTCCACGTGCGCCTGAGCTTGTCGCTGAGCCTGCTCGAAAGCGGCTTCTGTCTGGATACTCGTCGCCGCTTCCAACTGTTTCTGAATACCGTCCAGATTCGCTCTGCCTTCAGCAGAGACGACATCGGATTCTTTCAGTAGTCTTTGGAGCCCTTCGAGTTGGACGTGGGGGTTTTTCCCGATCAGGTCTTCGAGGGCGGATATCTGATTGCCGGGAGTAGACTTTTTTAAAATTTCGTCGGCCGTCTCGGAATCGAGCCCAAAATTATTCTTGAGGATACTCGGCTGGACGTATATGTACCGTGATTTCTTGGTCACCTTTTGCTCAACTATTTCGCTATCGGAACCGTCGAGATCATTATCTAGGTACTGCGGTTTCGAGCGTTTTTTTTTCTCGAGTTTGGTTTTGAGGTTCGCCATGTCGGACAGCTGCTGCTGGAAGTAGCGGGCCCTCTGCAGGTCCTGTTGAGGGGCGGACTGAAAATCGAACACAGGCGGAGCATAGCGGGAATCCGAGCCCCGAATGTTCCTCGCTTTTGTATGGACGTTCCGATTGTCTTCGCGAACTTTCGGCGTGTGTGGCTCGCACGACACGAAAGAGGAAAGATACAAAATGGCGACCTGCAACAGAGCATAGTAGAAGCAACTAAAATTTTAAACTTACGTTTCACGCGTTACATTGAGAAGCCAATATTCAAGTTACTAAATAGAAAGATTTGTTTTACACAAATTAAATTAGAACAAAAAATGTTCAGATTTTCGCAGTTTTTAATGCTTTATGAGAGCTGTTTCCGCAACACCGTGCCTTTACCAAATAACTTTCTACGTCTAACTACAAGTGGAATCCTAATTGTCTCTTGTCTAACCTTTCAATTTATAATTAATACTTCTAGAACGCTATAGAAAGAAAACCACTTATGAAGAAAAAGAGAAAAGACTAGGGCTTGAGATGATATGCGCCTGTGCAAAACTGTAATTCTGTAATATGAAGTTATATACTTGCACTGTTGTCAGATAAAGGATAAATCCCATTTTATGTACATTTTAACTACATAAGAACAATATATTAAAGAATAATATCACTATTATCACATATTTAGAATACAATCAGTGTATTATGGATTTCGTAAATTAGGTCAAAATTAAGTACACAATATAGATCTCTGACGAGGCAGAAAAATACATTAAACATTTATATAATAAAAATATGTGACAGAGCACAATAGAGTGATAACAAACATTAAGTAAAATATTCCTTTAATTTATAAAAACAGTTTTGTAGGAGAAAAAATTTTAGTTTAGTTTTATAATTTTTTGAAAATTCTAGTCTATTTTTTCTTATAGAGGAACAGTCTTTGTTACTTGTATTATAGTCGTGCAAATCTCCATTTTCTTGTAAGTTATTTTTGTTTTTATACACCCATAAACAAACTTCTAATATTTATACACGCTAAAGACAGTATTTGAAACTCCCTGAACTATCCGGCGACACTCCAGCGATTTACCTTAGGACTTTCTTTTGGTATTTGAAAACGAATATCGAATGACTTGAATTTCCCGAAAAGGGAAGACCATAGAGTAATCTCGAATGGATGTGAGCATAGTAGAAATGAATCATGCATTTAAAACAGTTTTTAATTTTTTTATTAGAAAACACTAAGTGTGCAGCTCTGAAGAAAGTAATTGGCATAAAGTCTCCCAAGATTTTTCGTCGAGTTCGTGTGCTTTTTTATTTCAATGTCGCCCTTTTTAAAGCAACATAGGCTTATCTAAATCACCGTCTTACATCAGTAATAACATTAAAAATGTATTTTCTACATACAAAGCTTTCAGTTAGTTTATAATTTTGGTTAGCACTTCTGAAGTAGAATTTTTATATTTATTACATTCGCAACTATTGGCAACACCACTGGCAACTGTAAGTTATTTGCCATGGCCAGTCTTGTTTTGGCTTCTATAGTTTTACATTCGTTGATTTATTTGTGAAAATGCCTATTTCTTGTGTAGCTATTAATTTGAACCATGTTTGTTTGATACACACGCCAGTGCGCAAAAATATCTGAACCCCATAGTTTCTTTCTAGACACCGGCTTGTGTATCTGCTCTTATATAAAAGTCTTCTAGAAGTCTTAATTCTATGCGTTCAACATTCCCATATACCTCTTTCTTTTGCCGACTCATGCCGCTTAAACATGTGCAAAACCGATTCGTAATAAGGGTGATGATTTAGAGCAGTGACTAAGTTTTAGTTTTTCATTTTTTTTGTGCGATTTTAAGGGATTTCCGCGACGTTGTTGTCATGAGCGGATGTTTATGAAATATGTGATATGTTGAGAAACCTAACCTTTGTAGAAAGGAAATCCCCAGAAAACTACGAGTTTCGCCCGACCATGAGTCAAAGTTTATTTATTCCAGACTATATATGACGTGTGATGGATGAGTTAAATGATATAAATAAACGGTTTTTCTTTCCATACTTCTTATTTGAATCATTAGGATAATCCAGGAAAAACAATCGGAGGATATGATGAAATCATTTACTTTTCTCGCTTGTGTCCCATATTGAACAGCCACGATAAATGTATATTTTCCACAAATCTATACGTTTCATTAAAAAAAATATTTCATCCTCTAAGTGTTTGGTGTTTCATTGAAATGTTTTTGTTAAACTGCACGGATTAAAATACCAATCGATATATTTTTACCCACTAGGTATAGTAATCTCTATACAAAAGTTCTAGTAACTAATTTAACATAATTATAGAGACGGACTGCAAGTTGTTTTTCATTTTCAACTCACAAGACTGGACTGACAGGAACCAAAATACTTTGTTAAACTAAAAGATGATGGAAAGATGAATATCTCTACTATATAGATAGAATGTGAAAAAATGCTGAGACGGCACATAACATATACGAATGCGCGAATCGTTTCAAAATTCGCTTTCAATCAATCAAACATTGTGGCGTTCAACAATGAACATGGCCGCTGACAGCTCATCAATTCGCCAGTTTTCATTTCGAATGGTTCAGTTTTTGGCAGGATTTTGTCAAAATATGCTCAGTTCCCTTAAATGTTCAGGGAAAAACGAGTTAAGTATGTGGAGAGGCTTTTTTGTTTAATTTAGCGTATAATAACTAATAAAATATATTTTGCAAATAGTAAAATATATTCTTAAAAAATAACTAACTAAACTGACGAATTTGTATTAAGCTGTATTAGAGCCGGTTGAAAAACTTAAATATTTCTATCAGCACGTTCCATTTCCCCTTGAGGTATAAAGCAGCGTATCTGTAGGCTCCTTTAATCGCGTCTTTAACTTTTACTTAAACGGGTATAACAATTGATAATAAATGATTCGGGGGCACACGGCTTGTAATATTCACGGAACGAAAAATGAATTACGATTGGGATAATAATGGGAAGGTCTGCGGAGGAGAAAGCGAAACGACAGGTGGTGAGAATTTTATCTTAATTGACGAAACGTGTGCTAAGTAACGGAGAAGCTGTTCGAGTTGTTAAGCTGATGTTTTTTTTTTTAAATAAGTTAGTGAATCAGGGTATCTGAACCAAACCCATACTCATTTTTCACAATTTTTTAGCAATTAATAATGGGCAAATTTGACACAGAATTCGAAAATGGATTTTAAAAAATAGTGTTGCATTTAAAAAAAGGAATTTGCTATAGGCATATACTTTTTGACCCACTCTGTATATTATTTTATGCTGGAAGTGTGCATTTTTCTTGAAACCCAATACCCGATTTTCAAATGAATATAATACATAATATAATATAATATGTCAATTGATGAGACAAAACAAAGATAATCGTTGCCTTATTTGAGATTAATAAATAATAGTGAGTGTATATTTTTGGATATAATTTTTCCGACGTAAAACTTGAGCAATGTAGTGCTTGCATAAGCATAGTGCAAGTGACCAGCAATTGACCACTTCTTAATTGACTAGTCAAAAAATATTTTAAATAACATCATGCAATTGTAGAGTGTTACCTATGATTATTTAATAATAATATGGATTTTATATTAAATTATTATGCGTTTGTGATGTCCAATTTACCAATAACTCCCTTCAAGGGAACTGCGGATACGATACTTAGCGACTCGGGAAATCCCAATAATAATATCGATTTTATTTCGTTTCCAGAACGACGCGACTGCGATGTAACGCACAATATAAATATAAATTTCATGGTATTTTTAATATTATTTCGGTCAATTGACACAAAAATAATTTGCCTGGTCATTTCCACAACCCCACATACATCTAATTGGAACATTGGTTATGATTTTGTTGTACAGGGGTCTATACAGGTTACTAAATGTTAAGAAAAAGAAAAAAAATAGTATGGAGAAGTTTTCCTGGCACGACGACAATTCTAGGTATAAAAATAACAACCATTTTATGAGAGTGTCGTCGAAATTTCTATATACCGTAACTCGGGAATTATACCTTGATTAATTTTACAACACCTTCATTTGGATGCAATTTCACGTACGGCTATAATTTATATTTTTAACAATTATAAGTTTGTAGTAATACTTATAAGTTAAACATAGTTATAAGTTAGTAGTACCTCGTAGCAGTACCTATAGCTAATCCCCATATCAAATACATATCTACACCTAATAAAAAATGTTTTGTTCAAATTTGAAATAAATATTTGACTGATAATTTAAGTTAAGTGGCAACTACTTTTTTAAGAACTTTTTACTTTAAAATTAATGAAATGGATGCTCCTTTCAAAAATAGAATGGGCAGTGATTTTCTAATTAAAAAAAAAACAAGAAGCACAGTCATAATTTTCTGAAATTATAGTATGGATTTTTTTTAAGGGGGCATTAAAAATGATATTTAATTTTAATATTAATAATAATAAAATACTGGCACATACAAATATTTTCCGAATATTATTTGACATATTTTCTTAAGAAAAAAAATACTTACTACTGCGCTGCGCGACATTCCAAATAAATAAAAAATAGCAGCGACGAGCAGCCAACCTTGCACTTGAACGTGAACACTGAAACTGCAAGGAATCCGGAGTCACTTTCATTTCTATATTAGCCAAATCTTCGGCATCACACATCTGGGTGTGCGGACTTTTCTAAAAAAATATGTCCATCGAAGAGCAAGAGTGAAACAAACGGTACGTGCTGCGTCGATTAAACGAAAGCGAAAGAGATAGAGCTTTCACAAAATCGGGCGGTTTTTAGAGAACTGAACGAGTCGGCAAGTTTCGATGCAAATTTGTGTAAATGTTTAATTGGTAAAAGTCGAAATTTAAAACAGTTTTGCATATTGTGTGTCGATATATACCGATTTTATCGATGACAGATGGCAGGTGTTTGTTACTAAGAAAATATTGTAGAAAATACTGTACGTTTTAAAACATGTTTTTAAACTTTACTTACGTTAGATACTTGGTTTTTAAAATAAATTAATCGAGTTTAGTGCCTATATGATGTATATTTTAGAAAAATGTATACCACAATCCACTTCAAAGTCTAAAAACAGAAAATACTAGTTATCTTCTTTACGACTAATAGTTTTACTATTATATATATATATATATATATATATATATATATATATATATATATATATATATATATATATATATATATATATATATATATATATATATATATATATATATATATATATATATATATATATATATATATATATATATATATATATATATATATATATATATATATATATATATATATATATATATATATATATATATATATATATATATATATATATATATATATATATATATATATATATATATATATATATATATATATATATATATATATATATATATATATATATATATATATATATATATATATATATATATATATATATATATATATATATATATATATGTTTTTTTTTCAATTTTCAATTTAAGGCTAATAAAAAAACCAATTTAAGTTTGCAAGTTGAAGAATCCTAAAATGGGGCTCGATCAAAATAGTAAATCGCAAGTAGAGAAATCATGTTTCATATTTCACCAAAAATAGCTATCATTTATTAATCAACTGGAACGTAACATTCTGTTTTTAAAATTTTTATCACTAGGTACACACTGTTACGTGACACTGTACCACGAAGCTTAAAAATTCTCCAAATTAGAAATGTCATAATAAGTGGTCTGTGAATGTTTTATAGAAGCTGAAAAATAATTTTAATTTAATATATCATAGACAGCTTATCTAAATCAAAGTTTTGCGCTATGCCATGACATTACACGATAAAGCTTGCAATGCACGGTGCAAGAAATATTGCACAGGAGCATGCGCGTTAGCAAGCTGATTCCTGCAAGACTGGCATGCAATGTTCCCTGGTAGGTTTTATTTTTCTTGTCTGTATGTTGCAACTCTGGAGACAAATTCAGTGACTTTTGCGCCGCCAACCGACTAAGTGTCAACATTGTTATGATGCCGTTATTGCTATCATTTTCAAAACAAAATTCTGGAAATAGCAGCAGAAAAATAGTTTGATTAACGGATTAGGGAGTATATTCAGACTTGATTGGAGGTTAACAATGCTGGTTACATTAAAATTGTATGCTTGATGTTGGTAATCATCTTTTATTTGCAAGGCACTTCCGCCATGTGAAACAACGTGCAAGATTTATTTATTGCAGGCAATATTTTGATCTTGGAATGTATTGCTGCAATTGCTTGCAAGCTTTATTTCGGCATCTCAAGCGGCCTTACGAAAACATTAGCTTCAAATAACAATGTAATTGGTGACTTTTTTCACCAGGGTGTATTATCTGTGTATGCTTTTTTGGTTAAATACATTCCAACACAGTGTGTGAAAACTGCCAATTAACCATTTATCATTTTAATAAATTTACCATTAGTTCATTATTTTTGTAGGTATAAACAAAAACTTTCACGAGTGTGTCCCAGGCCATTCAGTCGAACAACTTGAAGTCTATATCTAATTAAGTATACAAAAGTTTTGAATAAATTTAATCATTATAATGTATAATTATTTTTCCATCTGGGATATATATTTCCTTATTTTAATGGAACAGGAATAACTAGGAACTAGCGACCTTGTCATAATCAGGGTTTTCAACATTATTCAATTTAAACAGCACTACTTTCCAAAACCTTTCTGGGCCATGATAGAGTTCTGAACTAACTGGGTCCTCCCTCATTGCCTTCCTCCATTTGCGAAGCAAGGGAATCTGATCGTCACTGAGAGCTGGTTTCTGCCCAAACTTAATGACGAAGGATCCAGCTCTCTCTGCCCAGGGCCAAACCATATAATCAACCTAGAACGCTCACTAATTAAAATTATTTACTTTTTCTAATGTATCCTTACCATTCCCGGCTTTTCACCGCCAAAATATGTTGTTCCCCGAGATTTTAATTCATCTTCGAGTGGCTGAAGGACACTAATGAACTCCTGCGTCCACTCTTTGACCTCTTTCTTCTCATCGGTAAACAATGCTCTGGCAAACACCCCGGTCACTGGACCAATTTTCTGGATGATCTCCTTCTCTTTAGCCTTAGCGGCCGGTTCTGCTGAATAAAGCGGTCGCTCAGGGTATTTCTCATCCAGATAATCGCATATATCCAAGCTTTCTACAATTATTTTGTCGCCGTCCAATAATGCTGGAACTTTTCCTAAAAGAATTTAATAAAAACCGTAGAAAACCCAAAAAAAAAAAAAATTATACCTTCAGAATGGATTTTGAAATACCACTCGGGTTTACTCAATAAATTTATATTTACGATATCATGAGGGATGTTTTTCGCTTTTAACACAAGCCGCGCTCTTTGAGCGTAGGGGCAAAATTCCATGGAGTAGAGCCTTAGAAGCCCTTCAACGCGAGGCGGTTCTTCCGAGCCTGAAATTGAAGATTGCGACACATTCCGTAAAGAACCTTCAGTACATGATTTTCTAATAATTGTACCAAACTTACCCTTGCCGAGATGTTTCACCGACATTTCACTTAATCGTACCTACTACTCGCAGACGCTTCGGCGTATACACTAAACGTGATTGGCAGGAATAACTTTAAAATTACTTGATGAAATTCAGATTTTTATCTAATGCTGTGTCATTAAACATCAAAAAAATCTATAGCTGTTTTCTAAATCACCTTGAACCGAAAATGTTGCTGGTCGATTTTGACATATGCAACACACAATTATTTCTAGCGCGCAAACTCATTTTAGTCACATGTGGATTTAGAGAAGGGCGTAAGAATAGAAAAAAACATATTTGTGGTTTTTTAATAATAACCTTTTATGAAAATTTTTTCCTTAGATTATTCATAATCGCATTCCTCTGATATTGGACTTCTCTTTTACAAAACGACGACAAAATTACGGGACATTCGTAAGTAACGCTCTCTTCACACACCGACCCTTTAGTCCTATTGTTGGTAGCGAATGTGAATTCGCTTTCGGAATTTACTGAAAATAAAAAGAAATAGCTGTTGGAAAAATGGGTCTGCGTATTTAAATTCTTACAACAGTAGAGGCCCAAAAAAAGACACGTCCTGTGAACAGAATTGATAAAATATTTTTCTTTTTTCGGACTTGTTTTGACTTCAAAGTCGGCTACGGCCACATTTGGCAAATATGGCCAATGCGATAATTTTTCCGTGTATTCTGCAGTATATTTCCAATGATCGTAATTGCCAGCTTCGTCTGTTATTACGAAATCGATGCTAAAATGACAATTAAAATTACCTGCATAGGAGCACGCATTTTTTCATATAACAATAAATTATGAAAAATTGAAAAACAAGGAAGTCCAACTCCATGTTACTTACACCGTTGGATTTAAGTACTTCATGTTACTGAAATCGGCCACAAATTCCCACGGCTCGTTTGAATTCACATTTGGAAGGAATATCAACATTTTGTGTTCGTATTTTTTTACCCTTACAAGTAAGTAAATTACGCAAATACCAACAAAAACTGCACAGTTTCGACGGGTCTTCCACTGTTTTCGATTCATTTCATTGAACAAGACTAACGAAAGATTTCAATTTTCGAAATTATTTCGATCGATTTGTTTTGTAAAGCGAGACACGTTTTAAAATTCAAAACGCTTTAAATTTGAATCCTAAATTTAGCGCACCAGTTTAGAGGAAATTGTTTATCTTAGTCGATATATAGCACATCCTGTACATTATTGTAAAGATTTACCCCTTCCCTTGGCCAATATCTGCTGGAACTTTATAAACAGATGACCTTCACTGCTGGCAGTATGACGTTATTACCAATCGTTTTTTTCTAAGAGTGGTATGCTGAACAACGTCTGCCTTGCATATTGTCACAAGTCGTAGAAAGTATTTCAAACCTAAATAATCCATTATACAATTAAATTGAAAATTCATAGGATAATGCTAAAACCTACGTAAGCACCTGTGGCTTAAAATTAATACCAAATCATATTCAGTGCTTCTTGAAAATTTGTATTCCGATTCTGTGGTTTTTAGGTTATAAAGTTGTTAAGTGGCTCGTTTATCCTTTTGTTTAAATATGGCCGGAAATTTCTGGCAAAGTTCGCACCAGTAAGTTGTTGGTTCGAAAATTTTACCTATTATATCGGAAATTTTCAGTCAGCAGTGGATCCTAGATAAACAGGATCTAATTAGAGAAAGACAATACGATTTGTCCGTTTTAAGTGAGGAAGAATATCAGAAGATCTTCATTTTCTTTGCTAGCGGTTCTCTTATTTGCCCGAATTGTACCCTATCTAGTGTATAATTTATATTTTCTAGTTATTCAAACGTTAGGAGAGCAACTAAAGCTGAGGCAGCAAGTTATAGCAACCGCAACAGTTTATTTTAAAAGGTTTTATGCCAGGAATTCGTTGAAATGTATCGATCCGCTGTTATTAGCCCCCACATGTATATTTTTGGCTTCAAAAGTAGAAGAATTTGGAGTCATTTCTAATACAAGACTGATCACTACTTGCCAGACAGTCAGTATGTGTGATTACCACTTTATTTGTCAAATATGCATTTTTAAATTTCGTTTCAGTCAAAAATAAGTTTGGGTATGCTTACACTCAGGAATTTCCATATAGAGCAAACCATATACTTGAATGTGAATTTTATTTGCTTGAAAATTTGGATTGTTGCTTGATAGTTTATCAACCTTATAGACCCTTGCTGCAGCTGGTACAAGATATTGGCCATGAAGAGCAACTCTTAACTTTAGCTTGGAGAATAGTTAATGATTCACTGAGAACAGATGTCTGCTTACTGTATCCCCCATACCAAATTGCGATTGGGTGCTTACAAATTGCTTGTGTGATTTTACAAAAAGATCACAAATCATGGTTTGCAGAACTGAACGTAGACATAGAAAAAATTCAAGAAATTGCTAGGTATATTATTAATTTGTTTGAATTATGGAAAACCTATGATGAGAAGAAGGAAATTCAGGGACTGTTAGGAAAAATGCCTAAGCCAAAACCTGCACTGCAGAGATAAAGCACCTGTGTTGCATAGTTAGGACTTAATGCTATATATTATATGAACTGAATTAAGAAACTGTGAATTTTTAGAGCACCAAAGTATTTGTTTTAAGTAATACAGGTGGAATATTTTGTAATTTGAAGTTGCATAACATTGATTTGTTTTACAGAAAATAGACCTGTTCATAAAAAAATATTTATTGTATATTACTAAATAGAGGACAACTATTTTGTGTTGTGGGGTAGCAGATGATGTCTTCTCATGTTATTAATCACAGCATCAAGTGAGGTGGTCTTTTTCTTAGCGCTACCCTTTAATGTTTCTTCACCTTTGTTGCGAATTTTTAACTTGGGTGATGTCATTTCATCCATGAAGTCAAAATCATCTTGCTCGTCCCTACAGGTTAACATTTTAATAATTTACATTGAATTATTGCTTGTACTTGCTTCTTAATTTCACTTTCTTCTTTGGGCTCCTCTGTTGTCGCCGGAGATGGCGAAATATAGCCTGGACATTTCCATTTCAGTTCTGGAAGTTCTCCCTTGTTTAACAAACTGTAAAGCCTATCAACCTCTGCAGGTTCTGGTTCCCATGGATCTTTTGCATCTTTAAATTCTTCGTCTGAACATTCTACACACCAGTTATTGTCATCCATTTGAGCATCTTTAGGACTACTTTGAATATCTTTGTTCTTCTGAACAACTAATTTCCAAAGGTTAAAAAAGATAAATATTCCATAGAAACTTATTTGCGTTTTAGTTATATCACAGAACAATTACTTTGCTTCTTCGTTATATTATTTTAGGTAAATTAGGTAAGGGCACTCGCCCATTATCGACATTTCCTTGAAGATGATCCACAAAATAAATAGTAATTCTTAGTGCTATGATCATGGGTTTTATATCAGCTCACAGAACCATAACAATAACAAAGATTTTTTGTTGCATTTTAGTGATTTTCTGCAAATGCCGACAGTGAGCGAATGATCCATCGAAATTGCCTATTTGCATGAATACCATTCTATTGTCTCGTTTCTAATATTGGCAACTGTCAATAACAAAAATGTAAGATGTCTGCTGGTCAGACGTTAACTGTCAAATTCAAGTAAACATGTATTTTATTTTATTTTAACGTTTTAATATGTAAAATGTAAACTATTTTAAACATTTTATACAATGGCTCAAGGAGTTTTGAGTTCGGATATCTCGAGAAGGAATCCACAAGACGATTATGAATTAATTCAGAGAATTGGGAGTGGAACTTATGGAGATGTGTATAAGGTAGTAATAATAACAGTTAATTTGGAGAATTGGATTTATTGTTTGCAATGTTCGTAGGCTAAGCGGTTATCGACAAATGAATTAGCCGCAATTAAAGTGATTAAGTTGGAAGCAGGTAAGTGAAGGATAAAAAGTATTGGAATTGGTTATAGGGATATTTGTATCAGGTGATGATTTTGGCATAATACAGCAAGAAATTCTTATGATGAAAGATTGTCGTCACCCCAATATCATTGCCTATTATGGTAGTTATTTAAGACGAGATAAATTGTGGATTTGTATGGAGTATTGTGGTGGTGGCTCCTTGCAGGATATTTATCACAGTGAGTAGTTCTTCATTGCCACCTGTCATCCTTACCATTTAACAACATACTTTGTAGTCACGGGTCCATTATTGGAGAATCAAATTGCATATATGTGTCGGGAAACGTTGCTAGGGCTCTCCTACCTGCATGGAATGGGAAAGATGCATAGGGACATCAAAGGTGCTAATATTTTGCTGACTGAAGCTGGGGACGTTAAACTCGCAGATTTTGGCGTTTCAGCACAAATTACTGCCACAATAAACAAAAGGAAATCATTTATAGGTACCCCTTATTGGATGGCCCCTGAAGTAAGTTTGAAACATAATAGCCATAGTGTGGTTTGTTGTAATTCTCCCAAAATAGGTCGCGGCTGTTGAGAGAAAGGGCGGCTACAATCAGCTTTGTGATATATGGGCGATAGGAATAACTGCTATTGAATTGGCAGAACTCCAGCCACCCATGTTTGATTTGCATCCTATGAGGGTGCTAGTTTTAATGTCAAAAAGCGGGTTTAAACCTCCAACATTGAAGGACAAAGAAAAATGGTAAAATAATTTGGGCTAGATAATGCCATTTAGATTGATTTTGGCAATCTGTATTTGATGACATGGTACTTAAGATAAGTCTTGCTTAATCATCTTCTCCTTTTAGGAGTCCTGTGTTTCACAGTTTTGTTAAAGTGGCCCTCACAAAAAACCCTAAGAAAAGACCTACCGCAGAGAAATTGTTGCAGGTACATGTCTGAGTTGCTTGAATGGTATTTTGGCTGATCAGAAATGTTTCAGCATGCGTTTTTTCAAGGAGATATGAGTAGAAGACTGGCCTTAGAATTATTGCAAAAAGTTAACAATCCCTCACACATGTTTGCCGATGTTGAGCCCGACGAAGATGGGGTATGCATCTAGAAAATTTGCTTAATAGTGGTGCGCCTGTAATGTATATAAATACTCATATAGACAGTATGTTTCAAAACATGCGAAAAACTTAAGGGGGTGATTCCTTGTTTAAAGTAAATTTAATAGATAAAAAAATTTCTTAGATAAAACAATCTAGTGGGCTGCTGTTTTAATTCAATAATAGTGTTTTGCTTATTTTTCCTATTTTTATTTGTTTTGGTCCATAATACAATAGTTAGGACAGCAACATTTTATTTATTTGGTTATAAACTGTAAGTTTTATGAAAAAATTGTTCTGTCTATCAAAATTTATTTTTTCCTTCTCATTGCATGAGGTTTGCCAATCATCTTGTCGGCTTCTTCAGAGCTTAACTAAACTAATTTCAACCTTAAGTTTTTCGCATCTGTGTTGAAACACCCTGTATATTCAAGTGTTCTGGAATTTAGGCGGTGTCGAATGTACCTCAGAGGATTGCATCGCGCTTGACTTCGCGGCCCAAGGTTCACAGTTCGCAGGTTGTCGATATTCAGAGCATCGATGAAACCAACAATATGCTACAAGGGGGTAAGCTTTGCTATTTTGTTGAGACTATCGACTAAAATTACCGCCTAGACATCACAGACGCTATGGTTGAGGAAAAACGTCGACCCTGGGACTTGATGGACGTGATGAACAACGTTACCAGCGTGCATAACTGCATTGAGCATCAAAATAAAAAGTGGGGTATCGGAACGGCCTTTGATTCCCTAAGTAGAGAAAAGTAAGTGCTCACTGTCAATTTGGAATTATTTAACATTGTCGCGCGTCGTAAGTACTTAGTATTGAGGTGTACTAGACCAGGATCACTGATCACTATTCTTTTTTTTTTTTTTCATTTTTAATCCTCTCTTCCTTCTCTAGGTCTGTCTCTTTATATATACATTTATAAATTGGAGAGAGAAGTAAGGAGATTTAGAGATCTAGCGAGATAAATTTAGAGAGAAGAATTTGACAATTTGGAGAGAGAAATTAAAAGATCCAGGGAAAGAAGCTAATAACATAATTTACGGATAGATATTTTGAAAGAGAAATTAAGAAATTTAGAGATTTTGAGAGATAAATTTAAAGATTTGGGAAAGCAAATTAAAACGGAGAAATTTTGTGATTTAAAGTTGAATTAAGAGATTCGGAGAAAAATTTAGAGGTGTAGAGATTTTGAGAGAGAAATTTAGAAAAAGAAGAGAGGTTTTGATAGAAAAATTAAGAAATTTATACACAAATTAGAGATTTTGAGATTTAGAGAAGCAAATTAAAAGACAGAGAAATTTGGAGATTTAAAGTGGAATTAAGTGATTTAGAGAAAAATTTAGAGGTTTAGAAATTTCTAGTGAGAAGTTTCGAAAAAAGAAGAGAAGTTTTGATAGAGAAATTAAGAAATGTAAAGGGAAATTCAGGAAATAGACTTGGAGAGAGAAAATGAGAGCTTTTCTCTAGCACACCCCAAAACTAACCGCTGGATAGGCGAAATTTTAATGTTAGCCTGGTTGCATTCGCAGCGCCGATAGAAAATCTCTGACTGGTTCGCAAATTTTGAAAATGTCATTGAGGTTAGACGTTTTGGTTGCGTGTTTTTTTTTTCAGTTTGTGGTTTCCTTTATTTGGTTTTATTTGCGATGCGCCTGCTTTTTTTCAAATAGATTAATCGTTTTCTAACAAATTAATTTTCAGTAAATTTCGAGCCGAGTAGAATTAACCAAATAACTTTGACTAAATACTGTTTTTTTATTATTATTTTTAGATATTGGTTATTTTAAAATTGTTTTATCTCAAATTTGTTATGTTATTTAGGAGTCTTTTGCAGTACATTGACGAAGAGTTGATGATGAGGTAAATTTTACCTACAGACTTTGGAATCGCTTATTATTAACCCTCACCGCCGCTTGTTTCTCCTTTTTCTTTGTCCCGTTTGACACAGTTTTTTTTTAAACCTAAGAAAATCTGCTTCTTTACCTTTGGGATTTGGTATTTCCGCCGCATTAGCAATTTAGTATTTTGCCGCATCAGGCCCCTAGGTAGTTCATTTTGTTTTTTGATTCTTCTAGGGGCACCTTCAAGTATCGCCCGACGGATTATGAGCAACAGTAAGTTTTGATTTAGATCCGAACACGTGGGGGAATCTTGGGGTTAGATTTAGATACTGTAGTGCATTTGAAATATGTGTTGGTTGTTGTTATTCATTCTCCTGTGATTTGATCTGGAAAACGACGTGAAATTAAGTGTTTTCGAACGAGATTAACTAAAAAAAAAACTAGTATAGTAGCAGCTAGATGTGAATACTGAAAATCTGCATTACATACATGATGTTAATTTATATTATTATGCAAACTAATTAGTGACTCCGGATCCTACCGTTATAACAAATGGATATTTGGTTGGTGGAATTCGGATTAAAAGGATGAAAAGGATAAATTTCATAATTTAAATGTATTGAACTAATGGAGTCAAAAATTGGTACCTTATAATGAAGTAAGCAAATTTTTGAGATTTGAATTGTTTGGTGTCAAACATTAATCTGCCTTGTTAGTTCATCAAGCAATATGAGCTTATTAAACAAACGATTAGGAGAAGAAGGTTCACACATGAAATTATATAATGTCATTTCTATAACATCCTGTATAATGTACATTTTATTTTGTCTTATTTTCTAACTATCCAAATCTTCTAATATGTTCAGACTTATGTGTATACCGAGTTGAAAGATAAGTCTATCCATATTAGTATAGTATATATATTTATACATTTAGTTATTAATGAGTTTTTTTTTTCATTGGATATTTCTGAATGGCAGTGAATTATTAAACGAATTAAAAAACAATAAGTTCCAACATCAAGTCTTACATGGCAAGAGAGCAGTTTAAAAATTATTGACTGGAAATAAATAACGATATACGCTTGGTCCTCATTTGTTATTATGGTAATTACATTACATTATGATATTAAATTACAATTGGCCACATACGTGTGGGCAGTAAGTAGCTTGCGTTGATCGCTTTGGGCAGGAGGACAACCTCAACAATTGGTTTGCCACGTCTTTGACGATAACTAAACGCGTGTTTGGCTTACTAATAATCATATTTATATTAACCCGCGACTGTTTATAGACAACCGTATTATTGTTCATTGGGATTAATAACAAAAAAAAAAGGCTCTTTATTTTGTCGACGTAGGGCGACGTTACCCGTGCAGGACTCGGAAACCAAATGCGACATCCACGCAGGCCCCCCCAGTCCGGCGAACGATTTGAGTTTGAACGGATCGCCGCGAAGGCACTCCTCCGTCGACGAGATTTTCGGGTTGGTCAATTCGATGAACATCAACGGCCAAAGACAGAGGTCGTTGAGCGACAGCGGACGCTCAGACAGGGCTAGCAGCGTCAACGGTAACATTGCGATTTTAAAACGGATTTTTTTTGTACTTAATACAGTGAAAGCTCTCCTTGCGGGCAAACAAACAAATTTTCTTTCCTCATAAATGAAGACGGACAGTAAACAAGTTCTGGTTGATCAAAGCATATAGACTTAACAGACCCAGGTATGGAGATTTGCCCTATTTTCTCCACCATCTAGAAATGAAAGGAAGAAAATTCAAAAAACAGGTTTTTTATTTCCATTGCTTTCCGATAGGTCTGGACATTTGGTTCTTGCCACATCTACTCTCGACTGTGAGTTTTTCAAAACTACCGGTAGAGGAGGCGTGTTCTAGTCATATAACTGCTAAATAACATTACGTGCCCCTAAATTTCACATATTTATCTGCACCCATTGGGTGATTTTATAAAGAATAGTTAATACTGACATATATTTCTCAATTTAAACATTTTTAATGTAGAAATACTAAAAGGATGTCGACCTTCCATTGTCTGAGTTTACACTTGATAATGGGTAGTGATACAACTGTCCGAAACGTTGTGTAATTTAAAAATAAAGACAATGGACGTTCGACATCCTTTTAGTATTTCTACTGAATCAGTGTCTACCACTTTCAAGCAAACATTTTTAATATACTTAAAAATATGTGTAATTTTTTTCTATTCAAATATTTAACATCATGCCCGGTGGACATCTCTGGTGAAAGCAGAAATTTTTGTCCCAATAAACTTAAAAAAAACTTGGTTTTTATTGTTTTACATGCAAAAAAAGCTGCATCGTACAAAAGAAAGTTTGACTCTAAATTGTATATTTTTTTCAAAGGTATTCACTCAACTATTTGCTCGTTAATGATTATTAGGTATGCGTTAAATTTCATAAAATATCCAGAGCGATAAGAAATTTAGGATAAAAAAAAATTTTATTCGCAAAAGTTTTACACCTTATATATCAGTTATATGCTGATACTAACTTTTCGACTTAAAATCATACCATTAATTCCATTAATTCTTGTGATCTTGTAACCTTGGAACCTTATAAATGTAGTAGCTCTTCTTCTTCTTCTTATATTTATAGCGTTTGCTAAGTTCACTTTTGAACATACGCCTCTTCAAGTTCCTTCTTTTATTTTCTTCTGCTATAGGCTGTTTGTGTCCAATTTCGGCCGGTGATTAGTCTTAAATCATCCATTCATCTCATTGGTGGTCTTCCCTTGGGTTTTCAAAATTCGTATGGTCTCCAAACCAGGACTGATTTTTGACGTTTGTTAGTTTCTGCCTTGGCAACATGTACTGACTTTGTGCACTACTTAACTAGTAACAAAAACGTTTAAGAACTCAAATTTATATAAAAACAGAAATATTTCGCATTCAGGCACCGGCAGCAAACCGAGCAGCAACCACGACGTGAGCGCTCCTGACTTGGTGGCCTGTCCCCCAGTTCCTCCGAGGAAACACAGGAGGAGACACACCCCGCCACGCCCGCCGAGCAACGGGCTACCCCCGACGCCCAAGGTTCACATGGGCGCGTGTTTCTCCAAGGTGTTCAACGGATGCCCGTTGAGAATCTACTGCACCGCGTCGTGGATCCATCCGGAGACACGTGACCAGCACATCTTGATCGGCGCGGAAGAAGGCATCTACAACCTGAATTTGAACGAGCTCCACGAGACGTGCATAGACCAGTTGTATAACCGTCGTACCGTGTGGATGTACGTCATCAAGGACGTGTTGATGACGCTGTCGGGGAAAACGCCGCAACTGTACCGGCACGACCTGCTCGCGCTGCAAAGCAAACAGTCGCACCGGTTCAGCCTGCACATGAACCGCATTCCCGAGAAACTGGTGCCGAGGAAATTCGCGCTGACAACGAGGGTGCCCGACACCAGGGGCACGATGAAATGTTGCGTCGCGCGGAACCCTTACAACGGGTACAAGTATCTTTGCGGCGCCACCGTCACCGGCATATACCTCATGCAGTGGTACGACCCACTGAACAAGTTCATGCTGCTCAAGGTAATCCCTCCACTTTCTTTTGTTGACATTCTTGGTTGTTTTCACTCGAATTTAACTTCTAAGTCTGTTTGCCCCAACTACCCAACTAATATTTTTTGCATCTTAAAGTTTTATTATATCAAATAGAATGAAAGAACAGGTAATCACAAACGAAATTGAAGCAAACAATTTTAACCTAACCTAACCTAAAACCAACAACTATCAAAATTTTCTAAATCAAAACAAAGATCTTCCTTTGTACAAATTCTCACAAGTGACCTTCAATCAAACAAGGGATGTTTTTGATAAATTAAAAAGTAAAATTAGCCAAGGTCACTTGAAAATCTTGAAGCAAATATATTTTATTATAGGAGCGAGTGTACCCAAATATTTTAAAAATATCAAAAAAATGTTGTATACATAAAGGTGGGGAAGTTGCTACAACCAACTTTAGATCTATTCGTGTGGTACCTTGTATATCAAAATCATTGAATCAGTGCTAGTTAAAGCTATAGTCAAAGGACAAGAAGAGTGCAACTTGACGAGTGCAACATTCTGCGATATTACTAAAGAGTTTGACAGTGTGGACCACTCGACCCTGTTAAAAAAATTAAAATATTACAATTTTGACATCTTGAGTCGAAGTATAGTTGGTTCGTTTCTAGCAGAGAGATAATAATATGTTGTTTATAACTATAAAACCTCGAGTACATTAGCACTGAGATATGTGGTTGTGCAGGGCTCAGTAATGGGACCTGCCCTCTTTCTCATATATATCAACGACCTTCCTGAAGCCATTTTGGTTGGCTGGTGATGTTTGCTGACGACACTACTTTTTTAATAAATAAAAAGAATCTTACTGAATCACTTGCTGAAGCTAACTCTGAATTAACAAGGGCTAAGGACTAGTTTACAAAAAATAGCTTAACCCTTAACAAAGGAAAACAGTTTCTTTATTCTTCTCTCAAGGCACATCAACGAATAATAGACAAAGTGCAAAAATTCTTGAGAATTCATTTAAACCCTTAAGCCTACAACGCAGGATAATTGGAATGACACAAACCTCACAAACAGAGAGGATGTTAGATCATCTAAATTTTCGGAGCTTAAAATTCTTACTTTGCCAAGCGCTTATATCCTTAAGTGTCAAGTTTACGCTTACAAAAATCAAACAGATTTTTTACAGGTGAATAAAGTTCACCCCTCACGGAACAGGGACAACCTCAGATCTGATTTTTTCCGTCTTAATCCGAGTAGGCTAGGTTCAAATTACTACTGCATCCATTTTTTGAATGAACTTAAGCCCGAAACAAAACATCTCCCACACAGCTCTAGTCCGATGATTGCTTCGACTCCCCCCTTTCGGTGATACGTTTTTGTCATAATCTTCGTTCTGCTTTAATGTATGTCCAGATGCCCACAGAGAGCTTTATGTTTTATGTACTATGCTTTGTTTTATGTGTATTCTGTGTTGTCAAATTGTTATTCCATGATATATTTGTATACATGTTTGATTGTATACATTTTCTGTTTGTATTATGCTAATAAATGAAATGAAGTGAAATGAAATAAGATAACGAATATTTATAAGAGGGTTATAAGAAATCTCAGCTTTGGTATTGGTTACTTCTGGTTTTTTAAAGACGTTTTACTCGCGGCTTTTACTCGTGGCATATTATAGCTTACTGCGTAAAACTGTTATAAATCTAGATCAACTAACTAAATATTCTACAGCCGCTATGAAATATGGATTCTCATGCCCTTAAAACAACAATCAAAAAAGGCGCAAATTTTTGCGTTTATATATACAACAACTGAAAAATGATTTGAGATTTGCAGCAAAGAAATATACGTCTACACGCTTTCTTCATTAGCGGGTCTTTAACTTAGGAAGTCATCGCCTATTATTAAATAGAAACCCCAATTTTTATTTTTAAAGCGTACAGGGTGGCCTGTTTAAGAAGGGCTTATACGTCATCTCGAAACCTACAGGGGTTTCTATGAAAATGACCTTTATTTTTTTTTATTTTCCTAATCGTCACTTTTTTAAATATGGTAAAACAAAGTTTCATTTTTTAAATCAAACACCCTACATTTTATTGCATGTTTAGATAGTCCTTTCAAAGACAATTTCAACGATATGGGTCTGTGATGCACTGTTTCGAACTTATTAGCGATCATCTTCAGAATTCGAGTTATCTTTAAACCATCATTGTTGGGTTGCTTATTAACTTTTTAAACTTTTCCATCTATTATTTTTACGAAAATAATGCTTTTCTTTAGCCAATGATCAAATTTTAAATATTTATAATTTAATAAATAATATATAATAAATAATAAATTAATTTAAAATATTTTCGCTATTGCCACGTTTCGCAAAATGATACTTTTCTCAATTTTCTTGTTTTTCTGATTCTTATCTTTCTGTATATTCTATATATTTCAATTATATAACATATTACGGGTCTCCGACTTACCGTTTTGACTTAATTAGCAGATAAACTTAAAAACCGGGTATAAGATTTAAATTATTAAGAATTAGTTCCTTATCAACTTGTTCACAACCGTTTCAGAGCATTGTTAAGAAGTCATATTAAAAACAGAAACAACACATCAAGAAACATTTCGGAATAAAACAGCCCCTCGCATATCTGGCACAATTAAAGACAGTGTTCTTGAATGTGGCGAAAGAGGAAGGAGCAATACCCGTCCTTTTCTCGTTGTTAATTTCATCTTTTCCAGCACGTGGAATCGGTGTTGCCAAATCCGCTGAACGTGTTCGAGATGATAATCACGCCGGAACTTGAGTATCCTATGGTTTGCGTGTCCATTAAACAAGCCTACCAGCCGAACAGGTTCAAATTGGATCTCATCAATATGAATTCGGGCGCGAGCTGGTTCCACTCTGACGAGCTGCAGGACATGGACGGTACGGCGACGGTGGTCCCGCGACGCGAAAACCTCGACATCGTTAACGTCACGCAGTTGGACAAAGACTCGATTCTAGTCTGTTACGATAATTTTATAAGGATCGTCACGCCGCAGGGCAAACTGAAGAGTAGCAAGAAACAAGTCGCCGATTTGAGGTTCGACTTTAAGATCGACAGTATTCGTAAGTATTTTTTTTTCTCAATACGGTGACAACAGATTTGTTCAATCTTTAAAAAGATAATTAACTCCGTATTATATTATTATGATTAAATATTAATTAAATTAAATAATTTTAAAACGTGAAGATATTTAACTCCGTGCAAACAACAAAAAACTACGTTTCCCCTTTCAAAAACGCCAGTACTCTTGGATTTGATATTTTTATCTGTTTAAAAGTTATTTTAATTAATTTTCATTTTCAAACTTAAGAAACGAAATGAAAAAAAGTAAGAAGTTAAATTAGTCCTTTATAAATGACGTTGCCCTTTTTTATCTTTAACACAGTATTTTTTAAACCAAACATTTATGGACCTACCTATACGTGAACTTTTTCTTTTTTCCGGGACATTACCGCACGGGGTGGTGTCCAGATTCGGCTATTAAATTATTAACACCCTGTATATGTCGCGAAAAAATTCACGTTATTTATTTTGCTATACAAATATAAAACAAAAAATTGTTTACTAACTTTTAAATCTGCGCAGGAGGCACTAAGTAGGTAGTAGTGACGGGTGCGCAAGATCACCGATCACTAGCCTTAAACTTCTCTTTTGAGCTTCAATATTCTGAACTAGAGGTTTAAAAGTGAGACGTTTTAAAGAGAGAGCAGCTTTGATGTCTAAGGACCTGGTATTAACATTCATGACACAGTTTTTATCGTTATGATTTTCCACACTTATTGCATAATATACTATTTTAGCACGTCCCAAAATTTAGTTGAGCTCTTATTTCAACCATAGAGAATACTTATGGAAATCCGGCTTATAGCTTTGAGGTTACGTTTTTTTTTGCTAGTGTGTCTGCCTGACAGCGTGTTGGCGTTTCACAAACACGGGGTACAAGGCCGGTCTCTAAAAAACGGCGAAGTTACACAGGAAATCACCGACATATCCAGGACTTACAAGCTGTTGGGTTCCGACAAGTGAGTTTAGGTTTATTCGCGGGCGCGCAATGATTTTAACGAAAATTTCTTAGGGTGGTGATGTTGGAAAGTCATTTGCTGCGGGGCGGGACGTTGACGGGCGAAGAGGGGCACGATCTTTACATACTAGCCGGACACGAGGCGAGCTATTGAACCTACCGTCTCGATTGACTAGTTCCCGTTACGGATTCGCGCTTCGCTTTGGACAAAACTTTAGACTAATCAAATCTTAACTTATTCGTAGATTAGTTTTTTTTCATAGCCGAGAGAGAGCGAGAGATTAATCGAAAGCGGCAAGATAGTTTTCGATCAAATACATACGTCAGAGATTCTCTATTTTTTTCCCCGTTAGACGTGTGTGTGTGTGGGTATATTTAGATACTGAGATTGTAAATCGGAAAATTTTTGAGAAATATAGAATAGATATATTTTCAAGGTACATTTTGAAAAGGAGTAAAAAAAAAAGATGTATAAAATGGAAGAAAATTTACCTGAAAGAAGCAGATTAGAAGCAAACTTTATAGATAGAATCCTAAGTCAATTATTTTGACCATTTTAGTTCATTTTGGTGGATTAGCTGACGCAACGTTCGTCACAGTAGACGGAGGAATGCGAGTCGCGATCTGGATTTTTTAAAGACAGTTCTAGAAAGCTATTGTCTGGATTGCGAAAAGCTACTGAAAGGTGTGTAAAATATTGAAAGGGAAATTATGCGATTAGGGGAGAAAGTCAATATTTTAAACACCAATCGCATTCTGAAATAGGTTTAAGTAGTGTAGCCTCCGTCTCAGTTCAAAAAAGATTTTGGTTTATTAGTTGAATCGGCTCGTTTTGCTTGTCCGAAAACGAAAATAATTTTTGGATTGAGATCGTTCCCGTTGTACATTTTTGTAATATTTATCCCGTTCAAGAATGTTTTTTTTTTTCCCGATACGCATCATCGGTAATAATAATTGGGAATGTTACGATATCACGCACGTTCTTCGTTTAATTCATTCGTTTCAATATTTGACAATTGAATTTGAAATTACTTTAAAATCACATTCTAGCTGATGTCAATTTAAACGATTATTACAGTGACCAGGTATCAGCAGCACTTATTTGGCTGTGTTATCGTTTTAATTATTTTACGACTATGTTTATATTTAAAAAAAAATGACACTTGTACATACTGTAAACTAGTTAACATTATCCAAGCATACCAAAAAATAATTTATTAGGTCGACCAATTTTTTTTGTCTTGAGAAACTGCATCAACCTGTATTTATATTTTATATTAATTTCATTTTACGATACAATTGTTTTTTTCAATTCGATCGTAATCGTGTTATATCCTTGTTTAACAAAATAAACTTATTTTAGTTGTTTGGAGTTTTATTTTCAGTCCCAATTCGCAATCTATGCTGTAAACTGCTGCCATCTCTCGAAAAGTGGCGAAACTAAACCGGAATTCTTCAGTTAATACCGGTGGCGCAGAAGTAAGCAAAAACAACTACTTATATGCCTACTATGTTATCCGTATTCATCAATTCATTCTCCGATAGTGGCGCTGCAAACAGTGGCAAACATGGCTCTAAGGATGTATTTCATAAATGATACTTTCGAACCTTTGGACCCGTTTTTGAATAAAATATTACTCTATATTTGTCAGATTAACGATAGTGCAAGTGTGAATTGGAATAACTATTCCTTATCTTATATCAGATCAAACTCTTGCCCTCTCTAGATGATATTTGGAATGCATAAATTACAAAATTTGTTTGTCGTCTACGCAAATAACCATTTTTCCTCCTTACTGTCAAGGAAAACAATCATGCTTGACGGGCAATATGTTTTGCACTTGCACTCTGTTTTGCGGTAGATAGTCTCAGGACATTCATTTCAACTGAACAAAACATAGATTTGATATCAGGATGGTGTCCAGATGCACCCACTACATTATATGACGCTATTTCAATAACACCTGAATATTTCGCTAAACTTTAACACGTAAAAAAAACTCACCCGCTGATATTGTGAACAAATCCCTTATTCTTTATTTATTTTAATATACAAAGATAAAAACGTAAATCCCACCTATGACGATAATGTTTTTATTAGTAAAATGATAGACCTACAAGTATATGTTAATAAAATGCGTAAAATAAAAGCTCTAACAACGAAATCTAAATTAGAAACAAAAAAAAGGGAGCGCTATCGCCTCCCAAGGCACTGCGGACCTTGGGGTCCGATATTCGACTCCCGATAGAACCTCAAACAACTTTTCCTGCGAACTTTTTTTTTTATCAAACACCTACCGGGTTATATTGCACCGCGCTTTTTTTACTAACGAATTTTCCGGCGCAAATTTTAATCTAAAAAAAATTACGTAACGAATGCAAGAACCTCTCACTTCTAATTAATAACGCCCTTGGCTTTCAAGAGATCGCGCATCAACCCTTTAAGGTACTTAATTTCCCTCTGCAGATCGCTAATCTGAGCGTTGAGCTCGGTGTTGGTCCCCAAAAGTTGCTTCTCCTCGTGCAGGATCTCCTCGACCTCCGCCTTCTTCTTCAATCTGTAACGGGTAGCCGCGTTCTTATTCTGTTCCTTCTTGCGAGACTTCTTGTCGTCGGACGCGGCCGGAGAATACGGTTTGGACCGCTTCCTCGGCAACTTCGTCATCTGGGCCGAGGCCGTGGCGGCCTCCCCGAGTTCCGGCACCCATTCGGGATCTTCCGACGACGACGAGTCGTCGAAGTTGCTGTTGCTGCTGCTGTCTGGTGATGACGGTCCGCTGCTCCATTGCATGTCCTCCACGCGGGTGCGGATTAGCTCGTCGACGACGGCGAGTTCGCGGGCTATGTCTTGCTGCTGGGGTTGAGCATATTCGATGGGAATGCTCATGAGAGGGTAGGGGAGCGTTTCGGGCGCTAGTTGCTTCTCAGGTACGGAATATATGGCTGGCTTGGACAATTCCGCGTGAGCGCAGATTGGCCGAGCCAAAATGGGTTCGAGGGTGGTCAGCAATGGATTGTCGCACGGCGGGCTCTGGGGCGGAGTCAACGCGTTGCCGCTCAGCTCGACGTATACCGACCCCAAATCGTTCATCAGATACGGCGTCGCTGTTAACGGTTTCGAGTAATCCGATTTGATCGGGACGGGTACGGCGACCGCGCCCCGCGGTGGTTCCACCTCATCTAGCAGCGGCAACATCTTCTCATCGAGAAGGAAAGGTTCTGGAAATAGAATGAATAACTAACTAATGGCATACGGTGAGCCTCGAATTTAACTATAAGCTAATATCGCTCACTGGGTGCAATGATGGCATATATCAAAAAATTGCCATTTTTAGTTAATTGTACCGTGAAACTCTGTGAAACATTTGTATTTTAACAACGAACAATATCGCCACATAGCTATCTTACTTCGGTTCCGTTAGCGAAAGTTAGTGCCACTATTGAATTTCCCGCCTTTTTAACGATCTAGAGCGCAAAACCGGCACATAACCCAGTGTGTCTGTGATCACCGCAGAGTACGTAATGTTGGTAAAAAGCGTAGAAATGGGTTAAGATGTTTTTTTTTTTTTAATTTTAACTAGTAACTCAAACTTCTTTTAAGTCTCATTGGGACAGTTCAGGTGATGTAGAAAAGATTATAGTTGTGAAAATAAATAAGAACTTAAAGTTCTAAAGATTCTCAGTAAATTATATATTTTGACATGATAATTGTTTCGACAACAACGTGGCTTTATCAAATGTAATATTTACGAACTACGAAAATATCAAAATTGTCGTCAAAAATGTGTTTTTCTGTATTTAAGTGTGTAGTATAATTAAAATCTAGACTATTGTTTTTAAACGCTCTTTTATGTTCGTTAATGCGTTTCTTGAAGTACCTGTTTGTCCAATATAAATTTTAGGACAAGATCCACATTTCAATTTTGGACATTTCGTTTTACTGTTTTTTAAATATTTTCCTATTGTGTTGTTAGTTTGGAAAGCTATTTTTAAAACACATTTTGACAAATGTTTTGAAACTTTGTCACTAGGTTCTCCTATGTATGTAATTGTTTTAAATTGTTCGTGTTCTGTATTAGGTTTCGGATAAATAGAGTTTACTGTTGTCTGTATTTGTTTTTTATTTATAATTTTATCTATAATGGACGGATTGTAGCCGTTGTTCAGTGCAATTTGTTTAATGATATTAAGTTCTTTGGTGTAATTTTTTGTTGAGAATGGCGTATTAAGAAGTCTGTGTATAAAAGAGTTAAATGCAGCCATTTCGTGTGTATAAGGGTGATTTGAGCTCTTACGTATGACTGTGTCCGTGTGTGAAGGTTTATGATATATTGAAAAATTTAATTTGTTTTGCTCTTTCGTAATAGTTAAGTCTAAAAAATTTTTTAGACGGCTACAATCCGTCCATTATAGATAAAATTATAAATAAAAAATAAATACAGACAACAGTAAACTCTATTTATCTGAAACCTAATACTTGCAGCAGGCATTGGACGAAGGCTGAATTGGCACCCTAATTTTGCTTATTTCAATTTTCAAGGGTCACGCATGTTTTTAAATTCGTTTTTATCCGATTCAGCTGGTGTTCTACGACAATTTGTATTTTGAATCACTCTCCGTTGAGTTAGGTGTACCATAAGGTAGCGTATTGGGTCCCTTGCTGTATACACTGTATACGTTTAACTGTGTAAAGGCTTTAAATTAAAATATTGCTAATTATCACCTATACGAGGTGTGTTCAAAAAGTATCGCGAATTTTCTGTTTTTTCAAAAATTATTTATTTATTCATGAATATCTATTTTGTCCCCTTCAAAGTAATCCCCATGAGATATTATACACTTGTGCCAACGGTTTTTCCAATCTTCGAAGCACTTCAAAAAATCATTTTTTTTATCTTCTTCAGCTCATCCTTCGATGCCGTCTATCTCGTCAAGAGAAGCGTAACGTCGTCCTTTCATGGGCCTCTTCAGTTTAGGGAACAAGAAAAAGTCACAGGGGGCCAGATCTGGGGAATACGGTGGCTGCGGCATCATTAGTGTGTTGTTTTTGGCCAAAAAGTCGCGCACAAGCAACGATGTGTGAGCAGGGGCGTTATCGTGGTGCAAAAGCCAATTTTTGTTCTTCCACAAATCCGGGCGTTTCTGGCGGATTGCTTCGCGCAAATTGCGCGTAACTTGCAGGTAATATTCCTTATTGACCGTTCTTCCCTGTGGCAAGAACTCATGATGCACCACGCCCCTGCAATCGAAAAAAACTGTCAGCAAAACTTTCACATTCGACCGAACTTGGCGCGCTTTTTTCGGTCTTGGTTCGTGCGGCAGCTTCCATTGAGATGATTGAGCTTTGGTTTCCACGTCATAACTATAAACCCACGATTCGTCACCAGTTATGACCCTCTGGAGCAAATTTGGGTCGTCGCGGACAGAGTTTAACATCTCATTAGCAATGTTCATGAGATGCTGTTTTTGGTCACAATTGAGCAATTTTGGTACGAATTTCGCGGCGACCCGTCTCATGACCAAATCATTGATAAAAATCAGCAACTTCTCTAACGGTGATTCGACGATTGGCCAATACCATTTTCTCCACTTCATTAATTTTTTCGTCTGTTGTTGAAGTGCTCGGGCGTCCGGCACGCTCTTTGTCGTTCACATTTTCTCGGCCTTCTGAGAACTTTTTGTACCACCGATAAACGTTGCTTCGGTCCAAGGTAGCTTCTCCGTATGCCACATTCAACATTCGGAATGCATCCGCGCACTTAATTTCGTTTTTCACACAAAATTTGATACAGGTTCTTTGATCCATTTTTTTGATAGGTAAAAATCGAAGACGATCCAAAACACGTGCAAGCAAAGCAGCTGTCAACAATTAAATGAACATTCAAAATGGCAGAGCTTGTCGGCATAAAAGAGAGACATGAGTACCAACATAACGCCACAAAAAATTCGAAATTCGAATATACGTAACCCGCGAAAATTCCAAATTCGTGATACTTTTTGAACACACCTCGTATGCTAACGACACAAATTTACTTTTCTTTTCAATATCATGAAATGACGCAGTCTGAGACTAAAATCAACACTGATTTAAAGAACTTTTATAAATTGCATCCGATCATCTATTGCAGTTAAATCCAACTAAATCGAAGGTGTTGGTTTTTGGCTCCCAGATACATAACGTCAAAAACAAAATGATCATAAACATTAATGACACTTCTATAACATACTCGGATATATCGAAAACCTTAGGATTGACCTTGGACTCTAGGCCAAGTTCAAGGATCACATTACAAACCAATTCAGAATGGCATATGGGAATTAAAAGTTAATACACAGTCATAGATATTTTCTTCCAACTGCTAGAAAGAAACTGCTTTGTGAATCCATCGTTTTGTCACAGTTCAATCATTGCTGTGGTGTGCACGCAACGTGCCTGACCTGACCTGACCAATATCGTATCCAGAAAACACAAAATTCATGTTTGTGGCTTGTTTACGGAGTTCGCCGACAGGATCATATTGCTCCATACTTGGTTGTTTCGGGTTGGCTTAACATGTGCAATAGGTTCAGGTTAGTTTATTTTAAATTAATTAAGTATAAATCTCCGGAAAATCATGACTTGAATCTAAGAAAAAAAATTATATTGAGAATACCACAACATCGAAAAGAAATGTTTTAAAGATCATTTTCTTATAGCATTGCACATACAATAAATAATTTAAATCTTATCCATTTAACAATATCAACCAAAACTTAAAAACCGCTATAAAAGATATCTTCTTGCAACTCAATAATTTCGTCTCTCCTGCGACTTCTCTCTGTATATTGAAAACACAACCGCACGGCCTTGTCAAACAGTTATATTTCTTCAATGTAACCAGGAAATTATATAGAACCTTAGGTTTGGTCGAAAGTTTCGTAATGAGTTAAGGAAGACAAAAAAAATTCAATAACGTATTTCACAGATTGTAAATATGAAAATACATTTATTCGTTTTTGTTAAAAATTTAAAGAACAAAAAATCGGATACTTGTGGTTTAAAGGTGGTTTATATTTCTACAAATTTGACTGTGTAACATTGAAATGAAAATAGAATGGTAAACATTTTAAACTCAAAAACAACAAAAGACAATTAAAATCAAACTGAAAATACAATTTGTAAATTGTCAATACAGTGCAACCTTGGTAATAGAAACGCAAATATCGTGATGTGGTGTAGTCAGAACGTTACAGGAACAACATGAAAAAACCCGCAGGGCGTCACAGGGTCGTCTGCGTCGCATACGCTGTATCATTTTATTTAGTAACACTGAGGACATAAGTGCATAGTTATAGGAATCTTGGGTGTTATGTAGTGCCAAAACAAATTTTACACTATTAGATAACTTCAAAGACAAATATGTCGAAAAGAAGGCACGTAACACGGGATTTAAAACAAAAAGTTCAAGTTATAAAAGATATTGATGCCGGTATGAGTTATTCAAGCACTACTTCAAAGCATGGGAGAGGAAAAGCTACAGTAACTTATATAAAGAAAAACAAAGAGAAAATAATTGCATTTCTCCACGAAAATGATGTCGGTCGTTCCTACAGAAAAACAATGAAACTCAGTGCAAATCCTAAAATTAAAAAGTCTTTATTATTTACGTGGTTCTGTTAGAAAAGAACAGAATGCAAGTTTTAGTGTGGTCAATCGTTACAAAATTTCAGATTTTTCTTTTTTTTAAACAATTGTATTTAACTTCATAAAACGCGGCAGTATATCAAATCTTGCGAATCTAACCAACCAACAAAAACTAACCAATTTCTGGGAAACTTCTACGTGAGAAGGCTAAGTTCTTCTACAGAGAAATAACAAAAAAGGCCATTTTAACGCAAGTTAAGGATGGATTGATAAATACAAGAAAAGATTTCGTACCCGCCAGTTACCAGTTTGTGGAGAATCTCTTTCAAACGACTACGATGCAGCCTTGCCATTTGCGGAAAAGTTTGCTGGTACAATGGAAGAAAAACCCGACTCCCCATCAAGTATATGATACTGATCTTGCAAACAAAAAACACATTTAGGTGAAAAATTTGCTCCAGGGCGTAAAGTTCGCTTAAATTAAAATTGTTGGTCGTAGGTAAAAGTATGACACCCCGTGCTTTTAGACATGTTAACATTCCTGTTTGGTAAAAAGGTCAACGCAGAGCTTGGGTAACTAGAGAACTTTTTAGTG